GGAAATACTCTATTATTTCTTAAATTTCAATTTCAAGATAGGTTTTCATAAAAATTTTATCTTAGGTCAATCGCACAATGGAGTGACAATGCAAGTGTCGAGTTGGGGAAGAACCAAATGAAGAATACAAATACAGACATTTCATTAGCATAGTATTAACACAAGACCACTTAGCGGAGCGACGCTGCAAGCATCAGGAAGTTCTGCTATATAAATAGCATGGTGGTGTCTATGCTAATGAATAGCATAGTGATAATCTGCTACATGAATTGCATAGTGTTCAAACAAACTTGTTTTCATCATTGTTATTGCTCTATAATCATAGTGCTTATTGTCATAATACAAATTATTATTTAAAAAAAAATGTTCTGAATAAATTTTAAAAATGTTTATCTGAAATTGAAATTTTTTCTCCTGTATTAAAATAACATTAAAAAAAATAATAAAACTAGATATAATCATAGATAAGCAAAAGCTACTAAGTACCAAATACTATTTATTTTACTGAAATTTAATCACTATTTCAGTTGTCTTCAATAATAAATAGCAAGTTAGTTGGATGATGGAATAGGAGTTTAGGTACAATAAGATTCTGATTGAAATTAGTCCCTTTCTTCAAAAGTCTTGAATCAATTTTGGCTAGAATGTAGTTGAAAATAGTAATATTCATTTCAAAATAAGAATGAAATTTTTTGGGATGCTGATTCAGTTAAAGGTACAAATGGTGAAACTCCCCATTAACATGCTGGATTTGGCTGATGGCATAAAGATTAGTTTTGTTGCACAGAATACCATATTTTCATAATAGTAATAACAAAATAAATTCAGAAACAATAGATTCATTGTAAAAAAAAAAACAAATAAGTGGACAAAATGAAAGACAGAAGAGAGTGAGCGCTTGCAGTATCGCTCTATTATGTGGTGGTTAACTATCCGCACTCTATGCTCTGTCACTATCTTCCCGCTACTTTATGCTTGCAGCTTCACTTCACTATTAAGATAATCAAAATTTAAACCTATCAAATATATTCATATCGATATGGGAAAATAGTTCTGAGTCATTGATAGTAGAAAAACACTAACAAAAATATTTCTACAACTCAAACTATCTGAGGATCATAGGTATTAATTATTCCTGTCATATACTTCAGATGATTGTAGCCATAAAGCATTAAGTTATTATTAAAGTAAAGCCACATATTTCTCCAATCTCCATTGACAATTATTTCCTTCTGATATCAACTCAAAGCTATTTCAAAACAAACCATTTGTCTAATGTTAATAAAATATGAAATGTTAAAGGGCCAAAGGGTCATCCATACACGTGGTAAGTCATTTGACAAACATTTTAGGCCTAAGCTGAGAAAACACAACTAGTTAAAAAAAAAAAAAAATCTACCTCCTTCCCTTAGAGAAATATTAAGCTTTTTTTTTCTTAATTCCGTGACTATTTCCCCCTTCCAGAGAATATAATATCCTCTCTATTGTATTGAATAATAGTGACTGTTGTTCTATGAAGTTTTTATTTTATTAATAAGAGTATAGTTCCATTAAATTTGTTTCGGGGGAAAAAAAAAAAATTATATGTAGATTTCAAAGATTGAGGTTAAGCTTAAAGCAAATATCTTTCAAATGTAAAAGAAAACCATTTGAAAACAGCCAACATGAGGGCCAATGATAAAATTGACCAGTACTTTCATCAATACAGGATCATTCCATACCAAATTAACCAGGGACCTACTGCATGCATTAATGTAAAGAAAAAAAAATTTAGATTTTTCAGACTTACGGTTTTTGAATCATAAATTTTTAAAATGATAAAAAAACAACAAAAAATCAATGATTTTGAAATAGTTTTAGGGCTATTTGACCAATATGTGGCCTTACCTTTAATCAAACCAAAGAAGTCATTGTTAGTGTTGTAAAAACAAGCCTCGAGCTTCGTCTCGAGTCATGAAGACTTGGCTCTAGAGTCTTTAAACCTCCAAGACTCGAATTGAAAGCCCATAGGGTTCTAACCTTTTGAATTTAACTAAAAAAATTAAATTATAGAACATTTTCGTAAACAAATATATATTTTCTGTTTGTAGTAACAATGTGAATATATTTCCGAAATATAAAGTGAATATATTGCTTTTCTGTTGATATTAACAATGATAATATATTTTTGAAATATAATGTAAATAAATAGATCGGAAAGAAGAAGTAAGGTTTCATCCGCGACTCGAGCCTTTTACTACCGAGCTCTTAAGAATCAAGCGTTGGCAGAGTCGAGAAAGCTGGAGGAGCCTTTATGGCTCAAGCCTTAAGGATCCCTTACACGGTCAATAATGAGTTTCTTCAATATATTGACCGTAAAGGGTCTACATTGGAATTTATTATATTGACATCAATAAAACTGGTTGATATCAATTTTTTTTTATTGAAACACTGTCAACATAATTGCACGTGTTAGAGCCTATATTGAGCAATATTAAACCAAATATAAGGATCCTGAGAAGCTCTGGGTGGCACCAAATTATCGATGCCCCTTTTGGCAATATGTTTGGACAGGTGGGTAATACTTCTGCCTTAATTTTTTTGGTGGAGGAGTGTGTAACATTCTTAAAAGTTCAGCACCATTAAAATAGTAATTAATCTCTTTATTCAATAAACCAACGTTTATACTATTATAACTGGGTTACACAGAAAAGAATGGTCAACCAAAACAATAGACTTAGTTTCAGTTAAAACTATTATTCAAGGAACCGCCAAAGATATAATACTACTAACAAGCATCATGTAGAACAGTTTACTCTATTATAAAAATTTTAAAACAATTTAAGAAGTCCATTAATAAACATATGGTAAAAAACAAATAAGGTTGGAGTCACAACTCGAGCCTTTTACTGGTGAGCTCTAGGGCCTTGGCCGAGTTGAGAAAGCTCGAGGCTTTTCGGCTCAAGCCTTATAGTCTTCTCACCGAGCTTTTTTATAACACTAGTCATTGCAATACATAATAAAATACAATTCGTTAAAAAAATGGATTAAAACAAATAAAAGAATTTTTTTTAAAACATGGGTTGGCTGTTAAAACATAAGTTGATCACAAGTCTATTACAAGTTTACTTGTTGATTGATCCGAATTTACCACATTAAAAATCGAGATATTGTTGACAGTACCACTTCCCTACACAAAATTTTGATAGATTTTTAAAATAATTGAAAGGAAACCTAAGCAACTAATACCCCACAGTGCAGACATACAAACCTAAAATTTATTTATTTGGTATATGATTTAAAAACATTCATTATTTCATATTATGTTATAGATATAAATATTTTTTTTATCATAAATATGATCTTACAAAATAAATGCACCTGATACTTTCACTTCCATCGTGAGATCTTGCTTCTTGTGGATTTATTTCAATCATTATTGTTAATAAACTTTTAACCTTCTTTTTGTCTCAAAAAAAGTTTTAATACTTTTAAGGACTTCAACAGTACATATCATAACAACTGCTTGGCACACAAAATGAGAAAAATTCCATTTATTCATTTTTAACAACGTTAATATAACAAATGTTTATTATCTGTACATATCTTTCTTCTTTAAAATAAAATTGTCCATATATAAACCTTTGACTGTTTAATTAATTGTTTCCTTTAACCCCAAAAAGTGTCACTGTTTTTTAAAATGTACTAGTTGATACTAATAGATTGTATGTAAATCATAAAATTTCATTTTTTCCATATATGGTACAGTTTCGATTATCTTAATGTTAAATAATCCCAACAGGCTATATGGAAAAAAATCAAATTGGGTTATTCTGAATTCATGTATTTTACAATGATTTATTCAAAACATTGTTTGCTAAAATTGTGTGTCTTTATTCTGCTAGGAAGTGGTTCAGTAATAATTTTATATTATAAATAGGGTTTAAATTTTTTCAGAGAAATTAAGTAGATCTGATTAGGCTCTTTTCTAATAAATTAACCAAATCTTTATAAACTAAAATTGAGTACCTACTTGGATTGCGTAATAACAGGAATGTTTTAGTTCTATGGTTAAGTATAATGAAGAACAATATTTGAAAAAAGAGAAAAGAAAAATAATTTACGTTTTATCAAAGTTCGCAATGATTTTTCAAACATTCTAAGGGATCCAACATTAAATTATTAGAAAAACATAGTCATCTTTTTCATTAAGCATTACAGATAAATAAATAAGGATGCCTTTTGTAAAATGCTGTTGATCATTTTATGTATTCCTTTTTTCTTATTCTTTTTTCTTTTTTTTTTTTTAAGAGAGTGATATTTTTATTTATCCTAACCACTCCCACACAAAATTAGTTTGGATATTTGATGCTCTACTATATTTTCAATAGAGATTGTTTATTAGGACCCTAGAGGAGTGATTTCAGCACATCAGAAAGTTTTAAGATCTGTAATAGCAGTTATGGTCTACCCATTTCATTCTTTTCTGATAATGAGTACTGTTATCTTAAAGAATATGTAATATAAAACTGAATATATAATACGTAATAAGAACTTTCAAGTTTAATGAATAGAGTTTTGAATGTGTTTAAGATTGTTTCTCGCTGTAATGTACAATGATGCTACACCTTTAAAATTGAAAATTTTGGACTTTTATTAAAGGTTATAACAATTGATAAATGTAAAATACTTCATCTTAGACAGCTGGCATGCTACATAAAAATCTTTGATGCAGATTTTAAATATAATAATAAAAACATCTACAACAACCAAAACAACTAAAATTAAATAAATAGCAAAAAATAATCTACAATTTATAATATACAAAGCAATTCATTTCAAACAATACGTGAGTGAGGAGACTCTACAAAAAATAAATAAATAAATAAAATATATATCAAAGTGCAAGATACAAAAAATAATAAAGTAATTTGGTTGGAGATTTAAATATGTTACTAGAACTAATGGCAAACATGAAGCTTTGAATAAAACCAATGGTCTTGATTTAAATTAAACTAGACCTTTGAACTGGCTCTTGGTTCAGGGTAACAGAATCCAATATGGGAAAGCCAGATCTGCTACTTCTCACTGCATGATTTTTGAAAAGCTCTGTTGGGAAGGGAATTTCCGTATCAATACTTGATAATCGCTTTTCCAACTGAGAATCAGAGATAGTAGTACAAGCCTCGTAGCAAGGAGTCCTTTCAAGTGATTCACCATAACGATTTCTAAAATACATATGAACGTTAAAAGGTTGATATATTAATCTTGGAATGTAACATGTAAAATGTAAAGTGATTTTAGAATAAAAATAAAATTGACACTATACCTTACTAGCTTGATTCGTGTCTCAAAAACCCTAAGAAGTGGGTCGAGTGGACACCAGTTACTCAAAATCTTATTATCGACTAATGTAGCAAACATCTGAGTTTCAATAAATCTGGACAAAAATGGTAAGTGATGTTGAGGCTGATCAGATAAGAATGTAGCTTTATCAAAATTTTGCATTGAATCACGGTTATTCAGCCATTCTTCTTTATCCTATAAAAAAAAAAAAATGTGTATGATTAATATTAATTTTAATAATAAAACAGATATAATTTATTTACATTCTGCAGAAAAACATTCATTACCTCTAAATTAAATAGACTAGCTAGTTTTTATATTGATCAATAAAACCAGTAAACTGAAATACACATGATATGCACACAATCTCTATTTAATGTATCTTTTTTTATACTGTTGACGTGAGATGAGCTGTATTTATTTTAAATATATATGTGACATATATAAAACAAATACTCAGGCGATAAATCGAAGTGAGGATGTAACCTACCTTGAAGAGGTTCGAAAGAGAATTCAATGTTACTCCTCACTTGTACTGCCTGAGAAGTAGGATGATCCTAGCCCTCAATGGAATAAGTCCTATTGGGGGTTTCCTTTTGGAACCTCAGATTCCCAGATACTCTGTAATGAAACAGAACTGGGTATCCTGAGATACACATTTCCAGCTTGGAATTAAAGCCTCAATTACAGAAGAGGAGACAAGAAGGACCAAACTACTGAGGGAAACTGGCATCTACATCATCACAGAGGACGATTCCCTTCAGCTAGTAAGCAAGGATAACTACCCCTACAACGAAGTGTATGAGTGGAAGGAATTAATGGAGGTTGATCTTTTCAACCTCCTCTAATGAAGACGAGGGGAGAATCAGAAATTAAGCGGTAGAAGTATTATACTATTTCTACCAAAAATTAGTGTTGCTGAGAGACAAGGAAAGATGAAAATAAATAAATATGTGATGTATATATTTATTTTATAATCTGATATCAGAATGGTTTTACAGCTAAACATTAACTCGTTAGTTGTTAACCAGTATTTTATTTATTCAATTAATATATCATCAGCAGGATTTTTCAAATCTTGCCTACTAAAATGGGACCTTCACAGGATTTCTACCTGGTCCTAAAAAAACGATACCGATCAATTTCATTATGCCATGCACAACATAATCTTTTTTTAATATAGTATATTTTATATCTATCTTTGGTATCCATAGGTAAATAGTATAACTATTAATTTGCTATATACTATTGTAAATAGTATAACCTATACATTGTACAATGTTCATTCCATTCTATTATCAATAAAAATTAATAATAAAATCTACCAGAGCGATTTCAAATCCCAAGATGGTTATTATTAGGCCCTATTTAAAAAAATTAGAAACAGAACAAAAGAAAAAATACGAATTATTTCCATTATATTCTGAAAATGGGTGTAAATAGCATCAAACTCTCTTTTATTCTCACTTGAAAGGACTAATAGAAAAACATTAAGTCTTAATAATGATTAGGTGGCATTGGATACAAATTTTAATTTTATAGGTTTTTCTGTTTATCAAATATAAGTATCAAAAATGTAATTAATGAAAATATAATCCAAACCTGATTAGGCTGAATTATAAAATGTTCATAAGTTGAAAACATTTGAACAAATCTATTAAGGAATATTTCTCTGACAGCATTGTTAATTTGTAAATCTTTCATGTACTGCATTTCTGAACTAATTTCAGTTTCTTCTGAAAAACCATCATCTACCATACTGTCCCAGTCATCGTCTGAAAAACAGTTTAATATGAAATATAAGAATTGTTTAATTTAGATTAAATTTATTGATATAAAAAAATCAGGTGCAGTGCATGCATCATTCAACTTTCACTTACCACCTTACTTTGAGTAGAAATAGGTATTTATAAATAATAAGATAAATCACATGTTATCATCACCTAACAATGTATGGATAATTTTCAAAGGACCACAATCAGTTCATAAATACCCAATACTTTAGTTATGGTCACCCATGACCAATTTCAAGTTTTTGTGTTGTCATTGCTAAAATTAATAGATTTTTCATAGTTTAATAATATATTGTAAAACTTAAATACAACGTCATTTACTAAAAATGATCATGGGTGATTATAACTAATCAGCACACTATTAGTTGCAAGAATGCCATTAAATTGTTGAATGTCTAATTTTAAATTTGATATTGTCTTTCCTTAATTTAAGATAAAATATTTTGACATAATGTTGTGATCAAGCATTCCTTCAACTTTATTTATTTATATTTTATTTAAATAAAATGTGTAGCTTTATTTATAAAAATATATATTGGGGCAAAATATTACATGACACATCCATATTGTGATACATTCTTATTTTAATTCTTTTATTTTAAGTGATGATGTGAAGTAACATATTGTGTTTGATACATTTACCTGGAGTAAAAAAGAGTATGCTAATACTCACTGCGTAACGGAGTATTTTTTTTATTTAACATTTTTTTTTAAACTTTGTTTTGTATTTTACTTACCTGTATCCTTTAAAATAATACAAGGTAATTTTATTTATCGTTCAGAAATTGCTATGTAGTAGTAAAATTTAAAAATCCATTAACTAATGTGGTTCAATTCTCTGATGGATATAACCAATAAATCATTTTCAACATTAATTGGTCACTTCCTGATATGGCTAATATACTATCATAAAGTGGGTAAAATTTAGAACTGGTGGATATTTTATATCATATAATCCCAAGAATGGAAATAATTATCGGTTATGAATACTTTTTTTTTAGTACATCAACTGTTAAAAATAATTACTTTCTTACTTAGATCATCTAAGGCATCTAAAGAAACACCGCTTCTTTTATTAAGGGACACAATCCTTTGTAGCATCTCTGATCCTTGAGTTAATGAAGGGTCATCTTCAAGATCGTCAGCCCAAGAATGTTTACGGGTTCTCATGCTAATGCAAGAGCTAGTCATTAATTTATCTCCAGAATTGTTTAGATTCCTGGAAATAAAAATAAACATATATATTATTTTTAAAACTATATTTTTTTATTTTTCTATATTAAAATCAAATATTAGTAGGATAATGCTGGTTTCAAAATTTCATGTTAGTATTATAAAAAAATGTACATACATATCTATCTATAAAATCTTATATCAGAAATCAGATTTTCAAAACTATTTGTTCAAGAAAAATTACATTAAATTTATATTAAAAAAAAAAATGAATATTTTATATATTCTCACATCATTTTTCTGTTCTTGTACCTCTACAGTACTATATAGAATCCCAGAACTTAACATTAATTTGTTTACCAGATGGAGAGTACAAGCAATTTCTTTCTAGCAATTATTTTTGGTAATTTAGAAAGAAAAAAATAAATAAATAAACCATGCATCCAAACTATATTGACAAAAATATATAGTTATATAAATTAAATACTCATTGAGTGGAATTGAATTGTTCTGTGAAGAGGAAAGCCATAGGTGTGTGTAACTATAGGATATAAAAAGCAGCCATTTCAATATTCCCTGTGTCATTATTCTGCGGTTATTTACGAAAAATACAATCTCATATTAATTAGAGTTTATGGGTGATAAATAAACAGGACGCAGTAATTGTAAGATTTTTATTGTTCCAAACGTTTCAACCCAAGCATGTGGGTCATAATCAGAGCATGTTACCAGCACTGAAGATGTTCAAGTACTCAAATACCTTGAGGTGTTGATTACTTCAATACCAATCATAAATAACATACATTTCACAGTGGTCACAAACCATCACTTCCTATTTGCCTAACTTGGGCTATTTCTTTCCAACTTTTTGCATGCAACTATTTATATTGTATCTTTGAAGGAAGTTAGACGACTGTTCTACATATCATGGGTGATAAATAGTCAGGGAGCAGTCATTTTTAAGGTTTTTATTGCTGCTGGTGTTATATTTGAATTTAAAATCAGAGGTCACCCGAGGATGATCTTCCTTCATCGACATTACTATCCACCTTTTTATTTCAAAATGGCAGCTGAAAAACGTGTGTTGCTATAGACTGTAGCGCCTAAACGAACATAACGATTTCAATGAAACTTGGCTAAAATCTTGATGTCCTTTAAATTTATCTATTTAACATACTTCAACGAAAAGAAGCTGGAAAAAAGTTACGAGGGATGGTAAAATTAGATTCCAAATAACTCAAAAAGTATAAACTTTTTGTGGATATTGTATGGTTTTTTAACAGTTTACGAAATTTCCTAAAAAACAAAAAAAAAAAATTGTTAAAATTGGAAAATTAGGAGCAACGATATGGTCTCTAGATGTTTTTATGTTCTACTGCAAATCCTTTGTTTTGGATTTAGATTTTTTAATGTGTTACTGAAGTAATGCTATTTTTTTTTTAGCAAATTACTAATGATAAAAAAAAAGTTTTTAGGCAAATAATAGGAATTAACTTTTTATTTCTTTTAATTTGTCACTATTTATTTTAATTACTTTTAATTTTTTTGTTTATTTTTTTTTTATATTTATTTATTATTTTTTTATTTTTTTGTGCCAACCATCCAAATAGTATTAAATGATGTTATTTAGTTGATCGGGCGCTTATGACCTGGATGTTTTGCGCCTAGACATCGAAACAAACAAACAAACCAATCCAAGAATTTCTGCAGATGCTTCTTTAACATACAAATATCTAGTTAAAGAAAAATCCACCACCAACTCATTGACCTCTACTTTCACATCACTGTTGCTGTAGAAGTGCTGCCCACCAAAGTATCATTATTTTTTATCATATCATCTGAAATTGGTGGGATTCCCTTTGTTATTAATCATGAATGCCCACACAACTGCCTGCGAACTCCAAACAAATTAATGGATGTGTAGATGGCCATAAAATGTTCACAATACAATACCGTCAATTGTCAATGAAGGTCTCTTGGTAAATCTCTTTTCCATTTAAAAATAAATTAACTCCTCAAATTTCACACTTAGTAACTAACATTGTGTGATGTATCAAAGCCTGATAAGGTGGGATTGAGAGTGGAGGCATTACTGCACAAGGCAGCTGCCAGATGTATAGGCTAAAACCTTCTGTTAAACCGAAAACCTCAAACACATAAGGAACCTAATTTTACAACCTACCATCATAACTTTGAAAATTACTTTTATAAATTGAAACATTAATTAACTTTTCTAAAGATTTTAAGACCCATATATAGAAACAAGTTTCTAAATACTACAATTTTAGTTTCCGTATTTATGATGGTTGACACTGAAACTGTAAGCTTTGGCACAGTAAAGAAACAATAATCTCAGTAACTAATTCAAAACCATCAACTTCATGAAATATTAAAATTTAAATTAATAATTACAAAAAACTAATTACATGTCTACATATTCTCCAGACACTTTGTGCCTTCGAAGAATATCACAGATTTCATCAGCAAATTCTGTTTTGTGAGGAAAGCTAGGCAATTCCTCAGGAGTTTGCAATAATCTTGTGTCCAAATCCATATAACATAGGTTTGCCTGAAATATATAATGCATGAATTAGTCAAGTAATTTAGTTAAACCTAAAAATAAAGTAAGCAACAATATTCATATGGATATTATAGTCTTGATTTCAATTTTTCTATTTATACCGGAAAATTCTGAAGAATCAATAATTTTAACGATATTTATTTGATGATACTAAAAAAGTGTTCCAATTTTTAGATCAGTAAAATTAGATCCTATGGGGTCCATCTAAACCAATTGGTCCACAATATTGATTCATTCATGTTTCTACAGTTAAAAAGGACCAGAAAATTTGTTTTTTCTTTGATCATAAACAAAGGGTAGATATTTATTTTTATGTTCCGACTAGGCAATTTCAGTAAATAAAAGTATTTGCAGTTTCGCATATAGTCCAAATACTGTGACTTAGTAAAATCAAACTAACACTATTGTAAAAGTAATTTTTTAAGACAAAAATCTAGTATTAGCACATTTAAGTTATTCCTACTCCTCAAACGAAATTGGTACAGCAATGGGTTTCACAATAACAATTTTTTTTAGCTCCATTGAATATACCTCAGATTGTTAGATTAGCTAGAAACAATTCTGAATTTGTTTTCCTATTTTTCACTGTTTTCCCACATTTAATGAACACAGTGTACAAACTTAGTACACCTATCAAAGTCCCACTTTGGTCTTATATCTTCATCATATTCTCTTATTTTAATTAAAATTAATTTTGATTTTAAGGTTTGATTATTATGTTATGATAATAAACTAATATTTTTTTATTTTCTTGTAGTACCAGACAATGTCATTTTTTTTTCGTCCACTGTAGTTATTCATAGAGAACTAAATGTCCCAGAATAAAATTTACTTTCTTCTTCTTCTTATCAGTTATATCTTACATGGAGCTAGATTTTGACATCTAGCAAAAATTGTTAGAATTATAATATGTAACTCAAGAGCAGTGCTGCCTAGTGAAAACATCACTGTTTTAAGAATTAAAAAGAATTACATTCTAAGTCAAATAAATACTTAATAATATCTGCAATGTGGATACATAATTATGTTTAGAACATGACAATTTTTACCACATTTTTCAAGATGTCCTAGCAATGTCTGTAGCATGAAAAAAATATTAACAAAAAAAATATAGAATAAAAATTGTAGAGCATTAAATACTTTTGAGAGACAATCTCACTTACTTGACTTGAGTGTGCTGTACAAAAGTTTGAGTATTATTTAGATTCAAAATATAATCTCTAAACATTGAAATCCACAAGGTAGTCTCCAACACACATCAATATCCCCAGTTATCAAGTAAAATGAAATGAGGGGGTAGTACCTGTAGTGACCTTTTAATCACCACCATACTCATGGGAACCAAAATGAACGAACCACAAAATTTAAACAAACGGACGGACAACACTGGTAAAGACATGGCTATGGACCTAGAATTACTTTCGGAAATGGAATTATTAGAGAAGGAAGTGGCTGGGAGATACTCGGAGGGGCTATCGATGGACCCTCCTGAGGAAAATTCAAGAAGCTTCACTGAGACTATCTCAGCTGTGATTTCTAAGCTCTCTGTGATAACAGAGAAGGCTAAGGGTACGGCTGGTGGAACTGGTATCCCACCAAAACCCAAGTTTTCTGGTGCACAGAGAAGAAAATATAAAACGATGAAGAGAATCCAGGCCATGTCTGGGACTGAGCTACCAGTAACAGCAGCTCCGACTGCAATGGCACGGGTTAGTGAGGAGCCCGGGCCAGTCACGAAGCGTACTAGATCCTTGCCGGGGAACTCGATGCTTGTGGCGAAAGGGCCAGAAGCAGGGAAGCTGGTGCAATTTCTTATGCTCTGGCAGCTGGGGGCATTAGGATGGCAATTATCCCTTGTTGATATCCATCAGTGCAGCTTTCTAGGGAATAGAGCGAGGAAGATAACGCCCAGGTGATCAAATTTGTTGATCATCTGGAGTTCGGTGGCGCTATCCCAGAATTTAGTGGCTTCAGCCACCATCTAGGGAATGTATCATCGTCTGCGATGACCAAGCCACCAAAGACTGGATTTATAGTGTAGTGAAGGGCTTCACTATCAGTGGAGATATTAAACTCCATGCTGGTAATGTAGAGGAACTCAAAAAAGCTGTCAGGGTGGGGGCATACTTCCCTGGTGGGAAAATTGTGAAGGAGCTACTCATTAGGAGACTCCGCATTCAAAATGGTAGGATCCCAGATATCGATAGTTGGCAGATAATGGGAACCAAGGCAGAGACTAATGAACTCTACGGAATCCTTGAAACAAGTATCAAACACCTTAAGGCCAGAAATATGATGGTGACCTACGGCGTTGCTAAAGTTGCACTTAAGGTGTTTGAGAAGAAGCTGCCCAAACCTAGTGCACAGACCACAAAGGTGGGTACTGCTTCTTTAAAAGTGTCCCATGTAGAGAAAGAAGGTGGGAGGAACTTTTGCTTCCACTAGTAGTATTGTTGTAGCATCTGAGCCAGCTCGGAAGGGCTTATCTCCGGTGGGTGTGAAGGGGGTCTCCAAACCTGAGAAACATGGAATCAGGAAAGATGTGCCCCCTGGAACCCGGCAGAGGGTGTTCCTCCTGCAGCTGGCACCTTTTAATGGTGGTTAAGCTGTTGCAGGTGAATCTCCATCTGGGGGGATGTATCATCGTCTGCGATGACCAAGCCACTTAAGACTGGATGGAAAAAGAACAGGTGACTGCAGGAATGGATGCCAATGCTCACCAAAGGATCTGGGGAAGCTCCAACAACAACCGGAGAGGTAAGTCTCTTTTAGAGTACCTAAGTAGCTTCGAAATTGAGATTCTAAATAGGGGTAATGTTGCCACCTTTGTTAATAGAATCCGATCAGAAGTAATAGACTTAACATCAGGCATGCGTTGCTTGAGTTCTAGGAAAAGGGAATCTAATGAAGAATCATGCTCTGATCACCATTACATCAGATTTGGCTTGTCTGGGTATAATGTGAATGAGTCTGTATACAAAAACCCAAAACGTACAAATTGGAAGAGATACTGTACACAGCTAGTGGAAGAAGTCAAATTCTGTCCTAAGACTATTAGGAATACTTGGCATTTTGAATGCCTCAATTCCTCATTATATGAGGGAATTATGAGGTCACTGAGAATAATAGTATTAGTTGTATCAAATCCAACAGGAATGTTTCCTGGTGGAACTATGAACTTGGCAAGTTAAGAACCATAACTAGAAAACTCTTTAATGCCTCCAAGAACACGGGCAGATGGGATACTTATAAGCATGCCCTAACTGAATATAATGAGGCTGTACGTAAGGCAAAAAAGGGGGAGTGGAGAAACTTTTGTAGTGATATTAATAACACGTCATCCACGTTCAGAGTCCATAAAATCCTGTCAAAACAAACAGATGGATTGGTCATTGGTACGGTCAGGGTTGAAGGAGGTAACACCTACTCCGGAGGCTCTGGCTAGTGCTCATTTTCCTGGCTGTCAAATGCTAGAGGAGTGTATAGTTAATCCCACTACCGATGGGCATATCTGTGGCAAAGATAAATGGGTTGAAGTCAAAAGAATCGTAAATTCTAGGAGGGTTGAATGGGCAATTAATTCTTTTGCACCGTTCAAATCAGCTGGAATTGATGGGATTTTCCAAGGCCTGTTTCAAAAGAGCCTATCTGTAATTAAACCCTATCTCTTGGAGCTAGTTAGGGGTAGTTTAGCACTTGCATATACACCTAATAAGTGGAGGGAAGAGAGAGTCTGTTATATACCTAAGCCTGAAAAAGAGTCTTATGACAATCCCAACATATATAGACCTATATGTCTGACCTCTTTTCTGTAGAAGGCATTGGAAAAGATTATGGATAGACACATTAGGGATACTACACTAGTAGAAAGACTACTTGAAAGACTTACCAGGGACACACTGTGCCCAATTTGCCTATCAAGCTGGCAAATCCTGTGAGACAGCATTGCACTATTTAGTCTCAAGAATAGAGAAAAGTTTATCACAAAAAGAGATTATGGCGGCTATCTTTGTTGATACTGAAGGTGCCTTTGATCGTACCCCATATTATACAATGACTAGGGCATTGGAAAGTAGAGGGATTGGATACGTAGCTTTGGAATGGATTAATTCGGTTCTGAGGGGAAGAGTCCTTAAATCTGAGTTGGGATTATCTGTACAGTGCTTTAAACCTTTTGGAGGATGTCCACAGGGGGAGGGAGGGTGCTGTCTCTGCTTTAGTGGTGTCTGGTTGTTGACTCACTGATTGCTAAGTTGAATGAGGCGGGGTTCTTTGCTCAGTGATATGCTGATGATATTGCGATTTTGATTGAGGGTTAATTTTTAGATACTACCTCTGAACTGCTCGAAAACAATATGAGACTTCTGAAGGAATGGTGCCAGAAAAATGGCCTTGGCATAAACCCACAGAAGATAAACCTTTGTATCTTCACTCACAAGATTCTATCTCATTTATAAGAAATATTAACATTAGAACACCATCATTAATTGGGACAACATTAAATATTTGTAGTGAAGTAAAACATCTTGGGATTACTTTAGATAGTAAGTTAAATTGGCTAATACATATTGAAAAGATTAGTCGTAAGGCTATATGCTGTTTTTGGGAATGTAAAAGAGTTATTGGCAAATCGTGGGGGCTGAAATGGCAATACAGAACTGCGATTAGACCTCTATGCAGCTGTGGTGTGGTGGCATAGGGCAGCTGCGGGCATGCCTTATGACGACGGGAGCTATGAGCACTACTATCACTACTGCAATGGAGGATCTTTTGAATTTGACACCATTGCATTTAGAGGTGGAAGCATAAGCTCTCAGAACTGCCTATAGGATGGATAAACTGGGAACGAGACCAAAATTCCTGACATTTCAGGGCCATGGGATCGTTTTTGATAGGATTGATAGCAATGAGATGCTTGAGATGAGCTCTGACTTTCAAGTTGATAATTATAGAGAAATATTATATAATCTGAATATAAGCAGGAGTAGCTCACATGGACCATGTAATGGAGTTAACTATAATACCAACCGCTGCCTAATGGAGCAGGGATCAGGGACTGGTATCTGGAGAAAGAATAAGCCTAACAAGGGAATATACATATCTCTAGGTAGATATATGTCCGTCTTTAAAGCCGAGATTTTAGCCATCGATTTCTGTGCCCAATCACTTATTAAGGAGGGCATTGTGAATAGATTGATAACAATATATATATATATACGGATAGTCAAGCAGCGATTGGAGCCCCGAATAGTTATGTAAGTCGCTCAAAGTCGGTGAATGAATGCTAAGTCAATCTTAATATTATTTGTAGTACTAACAAGGTGAGAGTAGAATGGGTACCTGGGCACTCAGGAATTCCAGGAAATGAGAAAGCCAATTACCTTGCTAGGCAAGGCTCTGCGCAGGTGCCGATTGTAGCAGAGCCTATTTGTGGGATAAGCCTTGGCTTTGCGAAAAGATATATTAAGAAAATTGTGGGCAATAAATTTATGCTACACTGGGTGCAGACCAGGAAACAGATCCATTCTAAATTATTCCTTGTAGGGGCCTGCCGTAAAAGAAGCAATTCACTCCTTCTAATGGACTGTATACCAGTTACTGTCAATTAAATCAGCTTCTTTACAATATGGGTGTAAGTGAGATCTCCACCTGTAGGCAGTGTGGCTTGGAGGATAAAACGGCCTATCACATTATTTGCAGATGTGATAATTTGGCTCGTGAAAATTATTGAATCCTATTTTTTTTACAAGGTATGTATATGTAAGGTATGGGATGTCACAGTAAATTTTTACTGAAAATCAGCAAATAGGAAGTGCCAATTTATATCATTGATTTTAAATAAATAAAAATAAATAATAAGGCTTAGCGAACCCGAAGGTTCGATGCCGACACCACCAATCGCTTGTTACACACCTCCCTCCACCGTTCGCCGTCCAAACCCAGTCCCTTCAGATCGGCTTTAATGCAATCTTCCCATCTTCGCTTCGGTCTACCCCTCGGACGCTTACCATTCGGCACAGCAAATATTAACCTTTTAGGAATTCTCTCGTTACTAAGCCCAACAACTTTACAAGCCCATTTGATTCGCCGCGATGAAATTACCTCAATTATATTACCCGGATACATCTCACGCAATTCGGCGTTGTGTAACCGTCTGAACTCTCCGGTTAACTCATCCTTTTTCGGTCCGAATATTCTACGCAATACCTTATTTTCAAAAACCTTAAGACGCTGCTCATCCCTTAATGTAAGCGGCCAAGTTTCGCATCCATAAAGAACTGTAGGTAAGATAATTGTTTTATAGATTCTAATTTTTAAGTTTCGGGACAAGAGGCGCGAACTAAGTAGTTTTGTCACAGAAAAATAACAAGCATTCCCCGCCTTCAGTCTAACCTTAATCTCTTCTTCAATTTCGTTTTTTCTAGTTATCGTAGAACCTAGATACCTAAATTTATCTACCTGTTCAAACATATTACCATCTATATCGATATCACCAGTAGTATTGCCATTTTTGCAGCTAACCATATATTTTGTTTTATCCACGTTTATTTCGAGTCCTAGTTCTTTACCGGCTTTCATTAACGTTGTCGTATTTAGTTTTATAGTTTCAACGTCTTCGCTTAACAGTACCAGATCATCAGCATAGCCCAGCACGGATGTTGTCCCTCCCAGATCCAACCCTTTCTCGGTTCGCATTACCTCCCTAATGGCATATTCTAATGCCAAATTGAACAGGACAGGCGAAAGAGAATCCCCCTGTTTTAAGCCCGAACGAACCTCAAATTTTTCGGACAAATTATTACCGATTCTAACTTTATTGAGTGTCTCCGTCAAGCACATCCTGACTAGATTTACTAGTTTTTTTGGAATCCCCTGCTCGATTAGAATATTATACAGTTTCTGGCGGTCAATAGAATCGTAAGCCTTTTTAAAATCTATATACAGCTGGTGAACAATACCGTTATACTCCAATTTTTTCTCTAATATTTGCCGTAAAGAAAATATTTGATCAATCGTCGAACGATTCCGTCTAAATCCGCATTGGTAGTCTCCGATAATTTCCTCGGCGTATTCCGTGATTCGACTGGTTAAGATTGAAGTGAATATTTTATAACATACCGGAAGGAGTGAAATTCCTCGATAGTTATTACAATCCGTCCTCGGACCCTTTTTGTGAATCGGAATAAGAATAGATTCTTTCCATTCTTCAGGTAATTTCTCGTTCACCCAGATCTTTTTAACCAACCGATGTATTTTAGAAACTCCAGCTTCTCCGCATGCCTTAATTAGTTCAGTAGGAATATTATCGATTCCCGCTGCTTTATATGATTTTAATTTTCCGATAGCTACTTCAACTTCCTCTTTACTTGGTCCTTCTATTAACGGTTCAGCACTCTGGTACTCAGAAGGAGGACACAGATCATAATTTCCCGTATTTAAAATATTGTCAAAGTGGTCCTTAAACTTATTCAATATGTCAACCGGATCGGTCAGAATATTGTTATTATCATCCCTAATTCCAGACGTTACGGGCCCTACATATTTACGTGATCTGTTTATACCTTTGTACCTGTCTCTTACGTTTTTTTGGAATCTGTGAGTTGCTATTACAATTAGGTTATTTTTAAGATACTCCCTTGTTTTATTTTTTAGCAATTTTGTCGTTTCGTTCTTTGAGATTCGGAAGTATTCCAGATTGTCTTCGCTAGGATTATTTAGAGCTTTTAATTTAGCGGCTTTTCTTTTTTCACACATGTTTAAGCAATCTTCATCAAACCACGGTTTGTTATTGTTATTTTCCTTTTTTCCTAGACACGAGTTACCGACCGCTTTAATATTATCTCTGATCTCTATCCATAACTTGTCAATATCCTCGTGGTCCTCGTCAGGAAGCTCTAAAGCTTCAAACCTATTCTTAACTTCTAGCTCGAATTGGTTTCTGATTGATGGATTTTTTAATTTTTCCAAATTAAAATTCTCAAAATCGAAACGGTTTTCTTTTCTCTTTTTTATATTAAGTTTTTGTCGAAGTTTCGCAATTACTAATTCATGATCCGACCCACATTCTGCTCCGCGATAAGACCGTACATTAATTATACTGCTTTGCCAGCTGTGTTGTATCAAGACATGATCGATTTGATTTCGTGTTTGCGAATCCGGTGATGTCCAAGTATATTTATGAATATCCTTATGTTTAAACGTCGTACTTTTAATTATCAGGTTTTTCGAGATGGCAAAGTTTATCAGACGGATCCCATTATCATTACTATATTCGTGCAAACTTTCTTTACCAATCGTCGGAATATAAACTTCTTCCCTTCCTACCTTTGCGTTCGCGTCACCTACAATTATTTTCATGTAGTTTCGTGGTAGTTTATCATAAATCCATTCGAGTTTATCGTAAAATTCACTTTTGACTTCATCGTCACTGTCTTCGGTCGGACAATGTATGTTTATTAATGCGATTTTAAACCAACGTCCCTGAAATGTAGCTACCGAAATTCTATCACTAAAGAATTGTACGTCCCTCAAAGCGGATAGTAATCTACGCCTAATTAGAAACCCGGTACCTAAGCAATGATTCTCGCTTCCTCCGTACCAAATAGTGTATTTCCCTTCCCTCATCGAGCCCTCCCCTGGCCAGCGAACCTCTTGCAGAGCCACGACATCCAAATTGTACCCATTTACCTCATTCGCGACCGATTTTAGCCCCCCTGCTGTGTTTAAACTCCTTACGTTCCACGTACCAATATTTAAATCCCTATATTTCAACTTGCGCCATGAATCCCCTAAAGCAGTCCCCACCCGGAGACCCGAACGGGGGACTAGTTTACCTCCGGATAATGAGCGTTTTACCTTAGGGAGATCCATGACTTTTTGTGGTGTTTGGTGAACTAAAGATATGTGAGTAGGGCGTTCAATCCTACGTCACACCCTCCAGCAAGTCTGGTGGGCCCCTACCTCCAGCAAGTCTGGAGGTCCCCTCCCTCCAGCAAGTCTGGAGGGCCCCTCTCATTGTTGGTCAGCGAGTCCATCGGACTTAGCCGGGAGGATTTTCCAAGAAATTTCCACCGACCATCCCCACATCCGCCACCCGTGGGACGCTCTCCATACGCGGTAATGAGCCCGCGCGAGGCATTGATTTTAAACATTTTTAAAATTTTCTCAAAAATGGCTCTAACAATTTTGATTAACTTCATTATATCAGTGTAAAATTAAGAAGTTTTTAATACCATGTAGGTCTTATTCTCATTGATGTTCGGGCACTTAATTATTTATTATAATCAAATAAATAATTAAAATATATAGTCATAAAAGCAAATGGTTAGTGACAAAAAACATAAGTATAGTACATTAGACAGCAATGCAAAACATTGTTAATTAATATTTGGTACCGTCTATATTTTACTTTGTCTGAAAATTCTTATTTCTGTTAAAAGAAAAGGATGGTAAGTGAAAGTTGAGTGATGCGTGCACTACACCAGATTTTTCCACACGCCACACCGCACCAATTTTTCTAATTTATGTTCCATTTATTAAAGTTCAGATATAATAAAAAGCATAAACTCAAGTAAAAAACACAGAACTGATTTTATTTATAATTGGTTGGACAAGTTGCATGAAAGCTAATACCACAAATGTAAAACCCTTCTCCAGAAATAGTATGATACATTAACTTTCTCCTGGGATATACATAATTCATGACTGAATATTATTATTCATGAGTGAAACAATTCATAGGAAAAAATTTACTACCTCACTGGGCACATTAACTCTTGATTCTCTCGTGTGAAGTCCCATCACAAATGGAACTGGTGCATCGAGGAAATGATGGCATGAAGCAGGCAATATAGGAACATACACATGTGGCCAAGAAAAGGGTAGTAATAAGTTAGTCAAGGATTCAGCAACCAGCATTAATCTCTGATATTCTAAAATAATAAATAAATAATAATTAATTATAGGAACAATATATATACAATTTTACTTACATTATTTTCATCAGTTAAAAAATCAATTGATTATAGAAAATAATCTCAGGAATAAAAAGAAGTTATAGATATGATAGCATGAATATTCAGTAAAATAACAGGTTGTCTTCACTAAAAATTAACAACCCTTAGACAAACATGTAATGTAAATGTAAGAAAAAAAAAAAATAGGAAATAATTAAAGGAACTAATCCACAGTTAATTTCAAAAATTCCTCATATCAACAATTTTATTTAAAATATATACTTTAGGACAATTATGAGAATAATATATGAAAAAAAACATGCAAAACTGACAAACTAATCCACTTAAATTAAGATATTGAATAAAATAATGAATCAATCTGTGACTTGATATTCTTATAGAAGAGATATGGCATATTAAACCAGTTGTCATTTATATGCCATTTGTAATTCAAGCAGTTACTTGGTTATTATCAGATGATACATGGACCATATTGTAGAATCAAGCTCTATATGAAAGAGCTCCATGACTCCAAGTCTGTTAATACTTGTTTTGGGAGCTACGTGGCCAAGCTGGCTAACACGTTGTTTAAAGATAATTTGACAAAATAATTACAAGTTCGTATCCCGGTGGTGGGGAGGGAGGGAGGAGAGTAAGGGCTTTTTACTCCAGCATTATTCCCTCGCCCTCACCCTCTGGTCCAGTAAAAGCCGAGGACAAAAAAAAAATGTTAATATTCGTATTAACACAATTCTGGTAATTATGCAGTGACAACCTCATGATATCCATCAGAGGTTGGCAAAAAGGATCATAAGGCTACTTCCCAGACTAGCTTCCCCTCTCTCCCCCATCAGTAGCAGTACAAATTCCAGTAGGTCCTAAGTGGGGAACCTTTTACCAATAGAGGTCACTTTTAGAACAATCAGTGATAGTAAATTTATTAATATTTCACAGTTGGTATTTTAGTTTGTTTAAATATATATGTAAAAATTTCAATTTACAATTCTAATTATTTAATTAGATTTACATATCATAATCTGAATAATTATCAATTCTAGAGATATTTATGAATGCTCGAAAAACACTCACAAAGGTCGCTGGTTCTCCATTTATGATTTTAAGCTATAATAGAAAATTGTGCCAATGGACCTTAAATGAAGCATTATGCATAAACATAATTATCAGTAAAGTTCAATTTGTAAATAATACCAAATTTAATTAACTTTTTGTTAATTAATGTTAACTTTTAATTAACTTTGATTTCATTATTAGTTTTATTTACTATTCTATAACTTATTTATTTTTAATTTGATAATTTTTTTTAAATGAGTTTTTTTTTTGCTATACTTTAATCTTGTATATTCAATTTAATCTTAAATCATGATTCAGAAAATTTGCTGGTCCCATTAAAACATTCCATTAATACATAATATTAATTATGAAAAATAATTAATTAAAAAAGCCAATGTAAAAAATATTCCTATTTGTAAAAAACAGGTCTAATTATCAAGAATTGTAGGTATTTATATTGCATAATAAATAATGGTAACATAAATTAATTGGTAATAGAAGTCAATCAATAATAGTACAATAAGCACAATTTTTTAAATTTTAGTTCTATAATTTTGTAATCTCTTAAATAGTTCTATATTAGAGATTAATGAACAAGTTTTTATATTTCTGCTATTAGTATATTTATAAGTCAATATATCTAACACATTTCGAAAATAAAACCATGTCAATCGTTTGAAATGTTCTGAAAACTAAATAGTTATATTGTATGTATCAGTAAGATAATACATTTATGTAAATATAATAATAATAATCTATTTCAAAAATAATATTAAAAATTAAATTAAACTCCAGAGTATTTTAAATATCTTAATTTTAATATAAACTAAAAGAAGAATTATAAAAATTTAAATTGTAAGTTTAAGAAACAAGAGGCTGCTAAGCATACTTTGTTTATCTTAACTAAAGGTTGAGAAAAACTTAAATAAATTAAATGGTTTCCTCTGATAACAAATGAAACAATTAATTTATCTCAATTAGTGAAATAAGTAATTTATCTAAAAATTACAAACAAATATGCTAATATCACACAAGTTAAAATATAAAGGAAAATGAAAGAGGAAGTCCTCATTAAGGAATTTAATGTTCTCCAGGCATATCTTTCTTTTCATGGCCTTGAGATTCATTTGCCTATTATGTTTCATATCAACTCTATTGAAGTGATAGCTCAGAATGATTGAGATAGATATGTAAAGCTAATGGAATGCAAAGCAATTCCTAGAAGTCATAAATCACATCAGTAAATTATAAAACTTAGATATCAATTCTTGCAACTAAAATAAAAATAAACAGATATTTCTGTTAATCAAATATAAAATAAAACAAACTTAATATAAAAATAAATAATAATATAATATAAAAATAATTAGTGTTAAAATTGTATATAAATAAATAACCTCCAGAACAAAGAAGAATTTGGTTTTCAAGAAGTAGACAAGTAAAGAGTTGTATGACACAATCAACCCCTAGAAGTGTAAATAGTTCTCTAAGAGGAAAGTCAAAAAATGGTAACTCGGCAAGATTTGTAGGAGTTTGGAGAACAACTTTTTCTTGTGGATAACACATAAAACTAAGTGATCTTCCAGGCGGAGGAACACAAACTTCATAGAGAAGGTTGTACACCAAACTCTCTAAACTGGGGCTTCCCTGGTCCTTCCAGCATCTAAAAACAATATTAGTAATTAAAAATAAATCGATTTTAGAATATAATAGTCACCTCATTCTAGTATAAATAGAAATGTACCGGTATAAACCAGCAAGAAAAATATGTGGAGCATGAACATAAGGTTGCTGCATTATAAGAGCTACGCTCTTTGTAACATATAATGTATCTTTGGTGTACTCATAGTAACTTTGAGCAGCTCGAGTATGAGCACTTAGTTTAAAGTGGCGAGGAAGAGATCTAGTATTGTGTTCCATAGATCGCTTACAGCGTCCAGAAGAAAGTTCTGTAAGGTGCATAGCCTACAATAAAAGTAAAAATTAATAAAATGACAAAAGTATTAATGCAAGGAAAACAAAAAGAGAATTAAGAGTTCACATTAAATAAACATAAAATATAAATGTTTAATTAATCAATTTGAATACTTGTAAGGTTTGCATAGCACTGCAGATTTTCCTATTTCTAATTTCTTCATAAAATATGAAACTAGCACCATAACTTCTCCTTCCATCTTCTTTTGTAATAATAAATGAATGAAATTTGGGTTCTAAATTACTTTTCTGAGTTCTGAACTGAAGTCCATTTGGAAGACATAACTACAAGAAACAGTATTAAAAATAATTGAATAAATCTCTAAAGATCTTAACAGAAACATATAACAAAGAAGCAACTTACCATACAAACTGCATCTTTGTCAAAAGGATTCCATGAAACATTTTCAGGATAGTGTCCCAAAACTTTGCATTTGTAAGGCCTTTCTAATGGTGTTGATTGCAAGTTATCACCTACAGAATCACCCAACATCAATTGTAATTTATGTCATTTTAAATTAAGCCCTTTGATATATGGATAATCTTAATGAATTAATATATTTTTTTCTAATTTCGTAGATAGTTTACAATAAATTAAATGTTCTTAAAGATAAAATTGAATTCAAAGAGTTCTTAAAACCACAAATGGTCCAAAATTTTATCAAATGTGATATACCTCAATATGTAAATAATATATAACCAAGTTTCACAGTATTTACCTGCAAAGCTGTCAGGTTCAAGACCTGATGTTAAATCTAAACCACATATCACAAAGTAATCAGCGAATTTCGTTCTGTTGTTTAAAATGTTATCTGTTTCCATAACGAATCAAAAGAAATAATAATATTACGACTAGCTTCCAATCATATCACAAATTAATGCCATCTTGCTTACTTCTTACAGATTACCAACTACCACGTAAAGAAGTGAAACCTACGGATCTTTTGACACCAAAGAATAAATATCTCAGTAATGATGGCTCCATGACAAAATCATAGGCCCCATAAGCAGCGCCATCTCTTATTTGTTAAGAAACACTAACTGATTCAAGTACAAATTTCTCTCAACTGTTTGATTCATTCATTTTCTATCTTCTCAATTTCTTACTACTTAGAACTTTATTAATATAATCCATCATTATTTATTGATTGTCTAGAACTTAGGTTTTAATTTATATTACTGAATAAACAATGACTTGCAATTTCATTATTTGTATCTTACCAATTTAGATAGTATTTTATTATAATTATGTTTATTCTCCGAGAACTTTAAGAAGTAAATAATGTATAATAATAATAAATATTTAAAAAATAATAACAAATCGACAATAATATTACATAGTATAGCCACGGTAGATTAAACTTTTAGAAAATAATTAACATCTATTAAAATAATTTCTCAATATTAACATTGTCTCTTATAAAGATTTTAAGAATATTATGGAAAAAAGTCTTTAAGGGGTAAAAATAATGTCAATTATTAATTTAGCACAAATTATATGTTTTTTTAATATTATGAAATGGAAAAACTTACACCTTGAGTAGTAACATAACTCCAAAATTAGAATCACTTATTTGTAGCATATTTCCAAAAAAATTTCTGATTCATATATATATATATCGAAAAGTCATAGCATATGTCTATCATGCCATCAGATTTCGCTTACATCATAAAAAAAAAAAAAAATACTCTACTTTTGGAGGAATATTACCCCCTAGGTGCAAAGTTCCTGCATTTTGTGCTAATATTTAGATTTATTTTAACTTAAAAATCCAAGAAGAAATATGATGCAGTGATGCAGAATAAAAGGAAAGTCCAAGGAAAGGGCTTTCCGGCTGAAGCCCCTCCCCCCAAAATGGTAAAATATAACCATGTTTTACAGAAAAAAATATTAAGAACTATCTCTTAAAGTATTCTTGTTCCTGTAATTATATTTAAAAGGACTTCAAGAACCACTTAAACACCATTTCATATAGGTAATTAATTTCTTTATTTTTGTTTCAAATTAATTATGGTTATATGTATATGAAAAAAAAATCTTTCAGGCTGAAGCTCCCCCCAAAATTAAATCCTGGATCCGCTAGTGTAAATATCCAAAAATTAATGGTTAACAATAATGCTCAGAAAGTGGTAATATTATCATACATAAGATTATAAGAAATCTGTCTGAGATGAAACAAAACAGATAATGTTATTAATTATTTAATACTTATGAAGATCAAAAGAGCCTAGTGGGGATGAGCATAAGCAAGAGGGAGCAGGAGAATGCTGTACCCTCCTAAATAATTTAATATAAAATATAATAAATACAAAATGTTTGCTGAAAATCCATGAATAACAATTTTTTATAATATTTGTTCTTTGTACATATTTTCTTTCATATAATATATATATTATCATACATATTATTAATTTCAAATTAAAATATAAATTCTAATAATAATAAATTACTTACTATAGTATTATAGAATTTGAAATCATTTGCCTAAATAAAGACCACTCAAAAAAAATTTCTATTTTGGAGAGCTTCAGCCTGAAAGCTTCTCCTCTCCCCCCCCCAATAAATCCACTGTGGCTGCATTACTAATGTAGTTATGTTATTTGTATTTATTTACTCTGACTTAAGCTTGAATGCTTCAGTGATTTTAAATTAAATTGAAATTAAATTCAGACAGTTAATTGAATATGGTAAAAAAAATGTATTAATTTCCATTAATCAGAATTGAGTGAATTTCACATAAATTTGTTTTTCTGTTTTCTTTTCTGACAGGAAACAACACTGCGAAAATAATCATGAAAATCATTAGGAGGAGGTTATAAATTGACGCATTAGGTTATAGTTACTATTTAGAAGTTTGATTAATTTAATGTGTGATTATTTTTACGTGCAGGACTGAATGCAAAATGCTGCAGCGAGTACTTAATTTCTCTAAATTGTTCATGAAAAATATTAAAGATCATAGACCATTTAGTGAATTATCTATTAATGGTTAATATATAAATCTATATTTGTTACATTGTATAAACAATACGTATTAATTTTATAATTATTATTACTGTTATTCAGGTAATTTATGCCCTCCAGTTCCATTGCATAGAAATCTGAGTAGTCTTGCTGTGCATCCTAAGCTATCTAGTACTACAGAAACTTTTGATAATAAAGAACATTTAATTACTCAAGGTATCTTTTAAAAATCTTATGTTTTAATTATTAGTTTGGTAAGAAATTTATGGTTTTTCATAAAGAAACACTGATATACATTCAATTTTTTAATTTAATTGATTTTATTTCAAGATGTGATTGCAAATGTAAATGAACAAATAAAAAACGGAACGGAAGGTAGATTATTTGCTGTAGTATATATTTGTGGAAAGCAATTTAAAGTAACACCTGAAGATATTATTATAATAGAAGGGTATTGGCCTCCTCAGAATGGAGATGAAATCAAATGTGAGAAAGTATGTATATCAAAGTACTAGTTTTATTAGTTTTTGCTTGTTATAACCTGAATTCTATTTATATTTGCACTTTGTAATATATATTCTTCTTTGCATCCTCACGTTTATTAGAAGAGTATGGTACTTTTTTAGTTTTACTTATCTATTAACTTAAGTTCTTAAATCTTATATACATAATTTAATAATTATACTGTTTTTGTGATTTTTAAAATACAGTAATACTGTACAAATGTCACACTTCTTTCATTTGTGAAACAAGTTCTCACTATCACACCACAAATGGAATTCCAAAAATGGCCAAGTCTATTTGAAAGTAGATAGAAGTGACTAAACCATATGGTAAGGCTTGACCTCAAATGTCTATGAACTATGAACACGCCAATCCTAGGTTATTCTGAGAATCCCATTTTTATTGCGAACAAGGAATCTTAGCCCACTTGAGAAGGTGGAGTGACATTTGTACAGTGTTAACTTATTGCAGTAAGTCACTAAGGATTCCAACCTTACTTAATGAAACTAAAAAATGACACAATCTCTTTTATTTATAAAATATATTTATACTAAGTGCTCTATCTTCTTATTTCACATTGGAAAAATTCATCTCTGTACTTAGTATATATATAATTTTTTACATATATTATAATATATATATATACTCTACAAAAAGTTTGATGAAATTGAGAATGCTATGTTGCCTCAATAGGGGAGATAACTATTATTTATTTTGGAAACTATTCATTGTAGGTATTCTTAAATTTCTTTTTTTTATTTTAGTCAATTTTTAAGTAATTGTTTGAATGGTAAACTAATGTTTCTGGAATGTAGTGAATCAACAAATTTTAAATAATGATATAGTTTCTATTTTTCAATAGGTGATGCTGATCGGAGGTCTTGATTTTACTCTTGTTGGTCGACCTATTTTACCTCAAGGTTTAGCAACAGTTACAGCTACTGTAATTGAAAAAGATCTTTCTCATACAAAGACAATATTTTTCAAAAGGAGAAGAAAACAATATCAAAGAATAAACTGTAAGTGATTATATGTTTAATAGAAATATAGTAATTTATAGTAATATTCACATTATACAATCTAAACAGACTCAGATTATAGACTGTCTAAACATGGCAAAGGTGGTACTTCTTGATTTCCTGCATGATGAAGTGACAAAATATGTGTATAAAAGAAAGGTCTCCACTGGCCTGGCTGAAGATGTTCAGGTGGACAAACTAACAAATAGAAGAAGAGGGCTATGGAGAGAAACTAAGAGTCCTGCATGATGAAGTGACAAAATATGTGTATAAAAGAAAGGTCTCCACTGGCCTGGCTGAAGATGTTCAGGTGGACAAACTAACAAATAGAAGAAGAGGGCTATGGAGAGAAACTAAGAGCCTTAGGAATGATTTCTCCATCATTTGAGGCATTGAGGGCAGGAACGGGGTGGCCGAGTGTGCTAACGTGTTTGCAAAACACGTCCAGCAACCTGATAAACTGAAGAACGTGTATTTGACTCCCAGTGCCAGGGGCTTTTTACTTTACCATTGATCCCCCACCCTCTCCTCTGGTCTCGGAAAAATAATATATATATATCCTAAAAGGCACGATAGGGAAGAGAAAAATAATGATGCATCATTAAGGGCACTTTGATGAGAACTGCTTGGATCCACTATCTCTCTGAAGATGAGTTTCTGCAGTTAGTAAGGGAACAGAAATTCTCATATCTTAAAGATTTTATTTATAGTTGGATGTTGGCAGTGGGACTGACACACTTTGACAGAGGAGCTTGAAGCAGAAGCAGACTAGAAAGACCATCGGAAGATAAACGTTTGTCCTGGAGAGTAGTATTAGTAGGATCCATCTATGGAGATCAAGATAGTAAATTCAAGAAGATTTGCAGTATTGCGTATTTCTTAGAGTGGAAGATCTTCTATTGCATATTTGGACCAGTTAAGGTCAATGATAACTGGCTATAAATAAAAATAACGGAGCTCTATGATCTGTATGAGGATATTAATGTGATGAGGTGTGTAAAGGTTAGAAGATAGCGTTGGCTGCATAAGTTGCCAGAATGAGGGATGAAGGGATTCCAAGAAAGTTGGTTAACTGAAGACTCTACCTGACATGAGATTAAGGGTTAAGCCACAGTATGGCTTAGATGGGAAGATATTGTCTCAATACTTGCAGAACATCCACAACTGGTGAGCGATTGCATTATATAGAATTATCTAGCCAAGGTTTATTTAACAGGTCAAGGATCACATCAGTCTATAGCACCTCTGAGTTAGTTTGTTGGTAATTTGTATTATTGCTACTAAATCTCATGCTGCCAAAAAGCAAGATAAATTGTAAATATACACTGACAGGCAAAAAATTCCATCCATTTGATTTTTTCATGTTTTCATTTAAAAATATTTTGCTTTGGATTGGTCTATTGTTTTTAATGAATAAATAGGTAATCTTTTTGTTTGTTTTCAATTAGGAATGTTAATATAGAGGACAATAACCCTTAATCCTTAATTCAATGAAATTATTCTAGATTCCAATGTTTACTTTTTATGGAATCAAAATGATTATTCAGTATCATTAGTTCAGTGCCGTTTCTTGCAACACATTTCTTAGTCTCCGGCTTTTAATTTTTTCAATATTAAGTTTAAAAATGCCTCTTCGTAAAATTCTCAAAGTAAAAACCGGTCATCCCGTGGTTCTGTTACCCTAGGCCGTCCAGAACCGAGCCTCCTATTGTTAGAACCAGTTTCCCGAAAACGTCTGACGGCGTCTCGTAAAGTTTCATATGGAACTCCGATGGCATTAGCTGCATATCTAATGGAACGTCCATCATCAATAAGTGCCACACCACACGCAACCTCATCAGCACTAAGAGGCATTTTTAAACTTAATATTGAAAAAATTAAAGATTAAGACGGAGATTAAGAAATGTGACTTATGCAGCGGAGAAATGGACGCTTTGTACTAGCACAATTAGTATGGTGAATATTTTGGAAAGAAAAATTTTGAGAAAAATTTATGGAGCTGTTTGTGAAGAGGATGTGTGGAGATATAGAAAAAATGTGGAGCTATATGAATTATATAATAGTTAACTTCGTTAAAATTAGGCGTATGGAATGGTTAGGCCACCTGGTTAGAATGGACCACAGCAGGATGCCTTATAGGGCATTGTTCTCCACAATTTATGGCACAAAAAGAAAGGGAAGACCAAGGAAAAGATGGCTACAAGATGTTGAGAGCGACCTTAGAACACTGGGCATGATTTCATCACTCCAGACTTCCTCCAACAGTAAATGCATTTGGCTTATTAATTCTTCTCCTCCGCAATTAAAGAATTCCGCGACCAGTATATCCTCTCCAGGTGCTTTGTTATTTTTTAATTTTTCAATCACCTCAGCCACTTCTTCTATAGAACCAATTATTACTTCTATTTTTAAATTTGTATAACTTTAGTTTAATTATTTATTTTAATTCCCAATATTAAAATTAATTATAACCTCATTTCTTTAGTTTTTAGGTCCCAGTTGACAATGCTGCGAATCAATGAAGTAAGTGTTTCTGGAAAAGTTAATGAACATAGTAACGTTACACAATATGAGAGAATATGAAAATATTCAACTTTACTGTATATAGTAAAATTAAATTTAATAAATAACATTTCTATAATATTTTAAATCTCAAAGTTTTTTTTTCCTTGCAATATAGTTATAGAATATACAATTAGAAAATGAAATTCAATCAATAAGGCTGTCCGATATTATTTCTGTTATAATAATCTATAAGATTCACTAGTATTTAAATCTTACCTTACTCATTTATTGCAAATTTTTTACATTGTTCTGGCACTGAGCCATTTATTTGTTATTGATACAACAGATGCATCTAGCAGTCCTTTGAATTAATTTTTATTTTAATTCAACATCACATTAGATGGATATCTATCTCTCCTTTTATATTCTGTTAGGCCTAATCTCTTCTGAGTTCCCACAACATAGCCTTCTTCCTGCCCTTTATTCATCCTTTTTCAAGGATTCTCAATAAATTCAATGTACTCCAGTAAAATTACATAAATAGATTGCCATGCATTGAATTGGCATGTTTAATTGTTTGTTGTTTAATGTTCTTTAAAATGTAACTCTAGTTTAGTCAATTTTAAATATTCATCTTAGTATTTTCCATTGATTCCTTGCTGACTCCCCTTTTTTTGCTTACTAAAATAGCAAGTGGTTAAGTCTTTTAGAGCTTTAACTGTAATAGATAACTCAATTTTCTACTCATCAGAAGTACAAAGTAATAGGCCACAATGCATTAAGCAATAGATAAATTTATAAACTCATGGACATTCCATTTAATTTATATAATAGTTATCCTATTTCTTTAGTTTTTAAAAGTTTATAACAATTGAAGTTTAACTACGCTTCAACAGGATTATAAATAACTCATGGTTTATCTTTTAATCTCTATCCTTTCATTTGCCATAATCTCAAAGTTAGTATCTGGAGATTTCTTCACTACCAGTCTTAATTTGGACATAGTGGATCGTTTCTTTCAAAACAATATTTGATTTAACATTTAATGATTCTTGAACAGAAAGTTATTCCGTAAATGTCCTCGCACAGTATTAATGTAAGCAACCAGTGTAAGATTGACAAGTGATCCGTGTTCATTACACATTTGGTTAGACTCTATTATGACTTTAGAATACAGACTTACACTCACAGAAGATTAAAGTACACAAAGGAAATGTTGAATGTGACTGCTGGTTACTGCAAATGGAAAATAATATGAGAAAAACATTTTTTGTATAGATAATAATACCAAAACTATGTGTATATATATATATAATTTTTTTTTCTTGCAAAGATACAAAAACTAAGTCTCAGAAAATTGGAGATAGTTTGAATGATAATTATCATTATTGAAATATATAGTGGTTTAATCTGCAGAAACTTTGTGATTTGACATACCACATATAGATAAAATTCTATTTAGACTATGGTTAAAAAAACATTAACATCACTGAAAAAGTTGTTTATTGTCTTCATTAATTATGATATATACCAATGCAGTATTTAGAATTATCTAAAGTTCAGGAATCATGGCTCAGTTTGAAAATGAAATTTATTTTCAGATATAATTAGTCCAAGTTCATTAATTCTTGTTTTTATGTCACATATATTTATAGATGAGAATAATTTATTTTGAAAAATAATTCAACCAATCCAATTAAAAAAGCAGTTAATTGAGTGAAAAATACTCTAATAATTAGAAGTAGTTATTGTATTCCTTGTGTGGTCTTCTTCAGGGCTAGCAAATGGATCTAAGGATTATAGACTTATCTCTAATCCTTTGACACCCTTGAATATTCCTGATTTAAGACCTATACAGGCTTACAACAATTACTTACTAGTTTGTTTTTAACTAAAGACTGCACTCCTGACCAACCTTTCGTTAAATTAAATTAATAGATATTATCTATCTTCTGGTGTTTTTATCTACAATTATTACTAAATTTACTTCTATCCTGGAGTCAAATAATAAAATGTGAATAAGTAGTTTACAAATTTTATTAACAACAAATAAAATTTTACTTAAAATTAATTAATGTCTGACTAAAGAAAAATCACATTTCTAATTTAATGATTTTACAAATAATTAATCTTTACATAAACATCAATTTTTCATCCCATAAAATTAGACTCCTTAAATCAATAAGTATTATTTTATATGACTAATATGGGATAATAATAATTGAGATCTTATAACCAAAGTTACATATATAAATTATGTATATAATAAATAAAATTGTATTCTTATATCATATACCACCAATAAACATATATATATATATAAATATATAAAACATTCACAAAATAGGATTTTTTTTTTAAATTTTACTTTATAATATAAATATTTATTTATGTAAATTCTTATTATTTAATTACTCTACAGTCTTATTCAATTTACAATTAAGCTTTATTTGATAATAGTTTGCAATGTTTTAATCATTATACCTTATATATGTATATATATATAAAATAACAAGAGAATAACGATATATTTCTTTAAATTTCAACAACTAAAATAAGAGGGACTTTGATAAATACAAAAATAATAGTTTAAATATTTGCAATTAACAGTTCTAATATATGAATACATATTACTGTAATTTTCTGTTGAAGAATTTCATTCAAAAATAATAAGATATCCCTTTCTTTCAAATATTCAGTAAAATCAATGTGACCAGACTTATATGAAAACAATAGACTTTTTATAATAATAATTTCATAACTAATAATTAGCAATGACAACATACATAAATATTCTTTTTTTCTTCTTGTTCTATAAATAATTTCATATACTTTTATTTTAATTCCATTTATTAGTTATTTTGGAATTAATCAACCAGTTACAATAAATAATCTTTTGCTTTACTTTCCAATATACTTAATATCTTTTACAATTCTCTTACTTAAAAATATAAAACATGATAACATTGCTTTTAGGTTAATGACTAATTTACCCATTGCACTTTGTTCTGCATGAAATTGCTTAGATAAAATATTTTCTTTTTTTTTTCTTCTAGCATTGAGCACTAATTAGAATTATGGTAAAGTTTCATAATTTAATTAAAATAAAATTCCTACAGCTTCACTAATTTAATAAAGTTGCCATTTTTTACTGCCCTATAAATTGCTCCATTTTGAATATTTGGAATGTTTCTTGGTTTAATTAATTTAATTGGCTTTTGAATTTTAGTGATAACTATTTCTTCACAATTACTATCGTGAGAAGCATTTGTTACAAACTTTTCCTCAAAAGCATCATGATCAGAGCAATTAGAATCATTACTACTTTTAATATTATTGTTATTAAAGTTATATAAAACATCAGAAGCTTTATCAGGTTTTTCAGTGATTTGGTTACATGAAAATCTAAACGACTGGGTAGGGGCTTTTATGAAAGTAGCTGAATTGCTTAATGAGATCGGTTCTTTTTTCATATCCGAAGTGAGGCACAATTTTCTTTTAGCTTTTGGTCCATCGTCAAATTTTTCAAGTTCAGTGCAAACAACTTCAAGCATAGAATCAATTTTTCGTTGAGGTACATCTGAGCTTGATTCTGAAATGAGATAAAATTAATTAAAACAAATAATCTCCTTAGTAACAAATATGATCATTTTTTCTACTTAATATTATGATTGATTTAACAAATGAGCCAATTGGCCGGTCAAAATAAGAAAAATCAGTAAGTAGCTAATTTGTTTGATTTTTGTAACTACTATAGTTTGAATCCTTAAAGCAGGTGGAAATGACATTTTTTCATTCAACAAACCATCGCCATACTTAGTTCTGATATAAGCAAAATAATAGTCAACTATAATTGATCTCTATAATTAATATCTGTTTACAGTCAAAGAAAAGGGACATTATTCACAGTTGAAAAGTCAATCACTAATAACAAAATAAAGGACAAGCATAAAATTATAGAACTAATCATTATTTCTTTGGTTGGTTGATGATAAGGTAAGGTTATTACATTTTACATTACTTAACTTTAATTACACATTTTGCTTTCCTACCGCCACAAGGTAAGAAACATATTGTCACTTTAAATAAACATACTTTAAATCAGGTCAAAGCTCTTTTAAATCAGAGCTCAATTGCAAAAAAAAAAAAAAAAACATTTCCAGCCATAGGTCTGGTGTGTGTGTGTGTATCTTTTAATGGGTGGACCTATTTTATTTTGGCAACTAATGCCAAAGTATCAAATCAAGTACCCTGTGCGCAACAGCAGTTGAGTAATAGGTTAGCCTTTTCAGTTTTAATTTATGCTGTACTTAAAAGAGAAAAAAGTTATGATTAAAAGACATTTTTGGAGAGCTATTTGTTAATTATTATTTTTTAGCAATACTTAAACTTAGACAGTACATAATTTACAGCAAATTATAATTATACCATCATATACAATTAATTATAAAGTCCAAATAAGACTAATATTAACAAAGTTATGTTTTTGAACTTAGTACAAGAACCTGTTTTTAAAAGTATTTTATTTTCAGGACAAATAACTTTTTTTTACTTCAATTCATATATATATTACTATAAAACCACCTATGACAACATTGCTTATGCAGTCCTTTTCAAATCAACATAATTTCCTTTAGGTTGTGATTTTAATAAAATATCTAATTAGACAGGGAAAAATTTACAGCTTGATGGAAGAGGAAAACATTACTCAAAAATTCAAATCGATTATTTGTTTTCAACTACCAAAAATGTTTCTGGGTAATAGAGAAATAAACCATTGCAAAGACTCCATTAATTTTCGCTTAGGTTGTCAAAAAAAATTATTCTAGTTCTGGAGTAATGTTAACCCCCAGTTGTAAAGTTCACCTGCTTTACAGTATTTCATTTTAGTTTAGTAATTTGTTTAAAATAAATACATAAGAAAAATCATACTTTTCCTAATTTATTATTGTTCAAAAACCAGTTTCATGTTCATTATTTTAAAGATATTACAAAGTTTACATTATTTTCTTAAAAGATAATAATAAATAAGGAAAAGTAAGATTTTACTCATATATTCAATTTAAACTAAAAATTATAAATCTAAAATTAATTATTTAATCCTGACTTAAAAAACCAAACAACCAAAAAGAAACTATATTGATGTTAAAATTAGCAAAAAGCTTTAAATGTGGTTAGGTGGTTTTTAAGTAAAAAAATTTTGATGTAGTGCACACATTACACAACTTTCACTTACCACCCTCTTATCAGAAATGAGTATTTTCAGACAAAAGGGAGATGAAAGTAAAAATTATAGACACTATATTTATTTATATTTCATTGTGGGTATTTCTAGTTGTTTAAGTACCCTTAAATAAATACAAATTTTAATATTTATATCACAGCAATTTATACAATTAAATAATACCAACGATAGCATTTATGAAAACCACGTATGTATATAATATTGTTGGAGTCCATATTATATTAAGCTCAATTTACATATGGAAGCCTGTTCTAATCTTTCGGGCGAGCTCTTATTCCTTTGGTTCCTCCATTACGATATCTTAATTCTCCTTCAGTTAATTATAAAATTCTTTCATATTTAACTATTTTTTTATAACAGAGATGGCTAATTGTTTCAGATAAAAAAAATAAAGGTTCTTGAGAGGTATATTGAAAACTGACATTATATTTAAAAAATGTTTAATTTTACACTGATATGATGAATTTAAACAAATCGTTAAAGCCGTTTTAGAGAAAGTCATAAAAATTTGTGTAATCGATGATATAAAGTGCAATTAATCGGTTCGCCAATTTTGATGGAAAAGTAGCGGTAACATTCCAGATATATAACAACCTTAAATTTGCAATTTCACTTTCATACGACTTTTCATTTTTGAGCTAGACTGTTAATATACACAGATCACTTTGCAGTACTTAGTTGTTTGGAGTTGGGGGAACTCAAAATATGTATTTCCATTGAAAACTAAAATTAAAAAATTTTCACAATCGCAATACTTTTCTTTACTACATATTTCATATATATATATATATATATATATATATATATATATATATATATATATATATATATATATATATGTAAGTGAAAGTAAAAATTGGGTGCAGGGCATGCATAATACACTTTCACTTACCACTCTACCTTAAGTAGGAACATTTTCATATTTTAGATATTTTCTCATTCAAGAAAGGGAAAATAAATATTATAAACATCATAAAATTGATTGAATTGAATAATCATAAAATATTAATTTAAGCACCTTACGCACACTTTTCTACAAGACTTACTTACAATGATGAATATTGAAAACTTGCAATTCAGTTGAAAACTCAGGTTGTAAATTTTTCATTACATGAAACGTGAACTTTGAAAAAATTAAATATCCCTAAAATTATAATGAACTATCCCCAAAATAGTTAAATGCATAATATTTAAATACCTATATTAATCATTTAATGACAGTGTGCTCAGAGATGAATTATATTTTCAAACTTGTGGCTTTTCTGTCAATTGAATAAAAGTTAGATAAAAAAACCCACAATAAAAAAGTTTGGAACAATGTCCTAAATAAAATGCTAAGGTGGCGAGCAGAGCTGATGAAAAGTATTCCATCACAGGGGCACAGAGAACTGCCAGCTAATGCTGTCCTCAAGGCCGCTGCTCTCTTCCCGTTCATCGTCACTTTGTTTTTGAGCTAGGCTATTCACACACACATTCTTAGTTTTTTGGATTAAAGAATCTCAAAACATGTATTTCTATTGCAATAAAAAATGCATTTTGTGGTGCGAAAATAAATGACATAACAGACCAGGTTGTTTACACCATATTTATAATTTTATAAAAAAAAAGAAAAAAAAAAAGGAAAAATACACAATTAACTGAGATTGATTATTACTTTTAGATAAAAAACAATGCATTTCACAGAATTAGATTTTTTTTTTTTAGAGTAAAAGAATACCGTCAATGAAAATAACTCATTATTCAGATTTTATTGCTTAGACTCAGGGAAAGGCAAAACCAGATTCTTAATGACCATGCTAATTTTATACTTGATTAAATATAATAAAAATGTGACAAGAATACCTGATTATAATCGCATACGGTGACCAGATCACTGTGATCAAGATCATCATAATCGTAATTGTTGATTACATAGGTTATTCTCCTATCCTTCTGACCTACTCGGTAGTGCTTTGAAACTAACTTTCATATAAAACAATAAACATAATAAATGGCTTACCTCTAAAACCTTGTGTGTAAATCAGAAGTGAGTTAGACTTTGAATGTTTTATAAGTAAACCATTAATATGTATTAAAGATTAACAATTAACATACCTGAACTTGTGTCACAGAAGTCAACATTTCGAATTACTGTTGTTACAGATTCAGTGGCTAGTTCTATAACACCAAAAATATATAATAAATCATCTCATAATTTGCATTCTAATCAGTACAAAAATGTTTTTAAACATACCTGCTTCAGTCAAATCAACCTTTGGACCACAATAAATAAAACTTGGCTTTTTATGAATTTTTCCATGTCTTTTAATTAATCCAAGTGTTTCTAAAATATTAGCAACATCATATAAGCGTCTCATTCCAGTCTTGCCCTGCTCATCAGATAAAATAAGTTTTGCTATACCAGCCAAATTTAGAGCTCCTTCCTGAAAAAAAATTATTAATAAGTTTAAATGCATTCAAACATACAGTAAATTTACACTATTTTTTAAATTGAAAGCATCACAATTCCTCAAAGAACGTATTGTAGTATGTTAAATTCAACCCAATACAATATTTTTATTGAAAGTGAAGATACATAAATATAAAACATATACTAAGAACCTCCAGTAGTTTCAGAAAAGCTTCAACAAATGACAATACTTCTAACCTAGTAGCATCCTTATATTTTCAAAAATTTCCATGAGCATTTGTTTATATAAAAATTAATTTTGAGTTGAATCTATGGATTAATTCTTTACCATATCAGCATAACTTGTTTATCCAACAGACTAGAGAATTATTGTAATAATCATATTTCTCATCCTTTTAACCACAACTCATTTAAGCAATAATCTAAATATGGTGGGTTGGGGGATGAGGATCCACCAATAAATACACAAATGGGAAAAATCATTTGTAAGAACACTAATTATCCTACAATTTAATGACTCCTATAACATATTAGGAAGAATATAAGCATTAAAGTATCAACACTTAAAGATTTATTTTTTTCTCTTTATTAATTAATTGGGACAGGAATTAAAAATGTTTAAAAAAAAAAAAAATATATATATATTTTTATATATATATATATATATATATATATATATATATATAGCATTATATATATTTTATATTATATATATATATATAATGCTTCCCTACCTTTGGTAGTGAGGAAACAAAAAATTACAATTGTAAACAAATAAATAGAAATACAAATTATTTTACTAAGAAAATTTACCGGGATTAATATTTAAATGGAAATTGATTTTATATTTTAATGGGATTTAAAACTAATCACAACACATTTAAATGAATAGTAAAAAACAAATAAATAATCATAATAAAGATAAACTCATATTCTCAGTTAATACTATTAAATCAACCCAAAAGAAAATACAATATTAAAGCTAATGTGTAGAAAAATGCAGAATGTTTCCTAATAAAACATTTAAGGCAGTGAATCACAACCCTACTCCAATTTACATTATGGGCATTCATACTTTCAATTGTGCTTTTTTATAATAAAATTTTTAAATCAAATCTTACCTCTGCAATGACCAAGAACATCATCACAAATTTTTGACACAAAATACCAATTCGGTTATCATCTGGTTTTTCAGGATATGAAGAAAACTTAGAAATTTCACCATTATTATAACAATGATCTTCATGTTTTTCACTAGATTTTTGTTTCAGCAGTTCTTGAACCTGTAAATTTTAAAAAATGAAAATAATTATGTTAATAAATAAACTAAGCACTAACCAGATAAGAAAAACAGTATTTTACCTGATGGTTTATCTTATTTTGAAGGGCATATATTTTTAATTTGGTGAGGAACTGAGGTAAATTTTGATTTCCATACCACTTATACTTGTCTTTACAGACCTAAAACACAGGATTAGAACCAATATTCAAATACAAAATAAAAACATAATGACTGTAATGAAAGTAAATTAATTTTCATTCAGTATATTTTATACAGTGATTTAATTCTGAAACCTGAGAAAGAAATAGAAATAACTTAGTTTTAATTTTCAACTTAATTCCATGAATTAAAAAAGTAGGAAGAAATTTGTATAAATATTCAAGTCAAATAAAACTGTTCACAGGATGTATAAAAGTTTATAGTAACCATATATTCACAGAACATTAAACAGAATTAGGATTAAAAATTAATAAAATACCTTTACGGCCATCTGCAAGCTGGCTACTACATTTATAATATCATAAACTCTTCTTTTCTCTATCCCTAAAATTGAAGCTAAATATCCTAAAGATATTTGTTTGCTTTCTCCACTTTGTATATCTAGAGGATATATTAAAAGAAATCTAAAAATAAATATTTAAATTAACAAATATAATTGTTGACAAACCTACAACATATAATCAAGGAGTACTCACTTTTCACAAATATAACTCAAAGATCTCAATCTTCTAGATTTAACTTGTACTTGATCTTCTGATTTACAAATATATTCACTATTTTCTTCCATTGAAAAACGACTAGTAGCGACTTTAGTAAGTAATTTTAAATTAGCCATTGGTGAAATGGGTGAATTACCATTATGATTATTCAAATGTCCTAATACAACCCTTTTTGGTGGACTCCTGTACTGTGAAGCCTCAGAATCCATACCTGTTAAATGAGAACGGGCATTAACCTGAGATAATGATGACTAAGTAACAAGATAAACAATGCAAACAGTGCATAATTTGGCGAATACCAATGAAATTATACTTAGTTTATGAAGAAATACCTAGAAAAGCTGTAATGGATGGAGGATACGCTTCTGAAAAGTACCTCTTACTTTATTATCCGACAATTAGACGAGAAATGACCATTTCTATACCCTTTCACCCGACTCAAAACATTTGTTTTGGCGCTACAAGCTCCTACTGTGGCAGTCTGAAAACGAACATTCCGCGGTTTTCCACGTGAGCCAATGACGTCACGTTTTTTAAACTATTGGCGCAAGCGCAGTAGTTAGGCGTAGCTCCTGCCATCTATCGAATATCAGGTAAGTTACAAATTGAAAACAGAACATAACAGCAGTTAGAATTCACGAAACTGGAAGGTAATAATGTCTGTCTGGAGACAGTGAAGTGTGATAGAAGTCAAAATGTTTGTTGTTATGACGGTTTTATGAATTTAATGCTTCAAGTGATTAAATCGATAGCTTAATTTGTGCTTTAAGAAACTATTTCTTCAAGATTAAAAGACGCATGGGAGCTATAAGTAAGTGATTCTGTTTTTGAATGTGTAAATAAAATATTACAGTTATGAATTATTTTTGTGTATATTAATTAGTCTTTAAATCTTTTTTCAGAATTATGTTAACTTAACCTCATGAAAGAATTTTAATATTATCTACATGAATTGTTATTGTTTTTTATTTTATATTAGGAGTAGCTCTTTAGTTATTTATATTTTCGTTTTTTTTATTTAAAGTTTATATTTCTTAATATGAGGGCTCATCATACTGTCTAGAAAATCGATTCCAGTTAGTATAACAAATGTTGAAAGGTCACAGAACTGGAGAATAGGACAGTTTGCCTTATGGCTGTTTTAGTTTTAAATTTAGTCAAATTGATAGGAGATGTTTTATTCTGTCTCTGCTCATTTGATGATAATGTTATCTGTATAGTTAAATCATGTGTATAGCCTAAATTTTTGTAATGTATCATTCTCATCTATCCATCAACTTGTAGAATGGAAGTCTATAAATCATAAATAAGAAAAAAATTAAGTCCACTGAACCAATCAGGTTACAGTTTTATGATTTATTAATGAGGACATTACATTTTTGTGTTTGTTTTTTTTTTCAGCTAATTAACCATTCCTTAAAAAAAACTATGAATTTGGGATTGTTTTGTATCTATTTATATTTTATGCATTCAATTTGTATATAATTATCTGTCATGATACTCCGAACGTGTTATGATAAAATGATCTACATATTTAAAATATCAAAATATTTTTCTTAGCAAATGTCATTAATCACATCGCTATTTAATTTATTTTTAAAACATTGTTTAAAAATGATCTTTGATTTATTGGTATATATTTTTAGGCGGTATTATGTACGATTTTATTTCCATCTAAAGTTTTGTTTTGTTATACGAGTTTCTTGTATATGGGTCAGTGGCCTTATCCTAGGCTTATGTCCGAGTGTATTCCCGATGTCAGCTTGAGGAAGTTCGCTTATCCTTTTTTCTTTCTTGCTTTCCTATTTTACATACAGTTCTAATTACCTAAATAAAAATTAATACTTGTAATATTATTAGTTTTATTTGAGATTTTTATGTTTGTTAGCTATTTCTTGAGATTTTTATCAATCAGCGCCGTGTTACCATAGTTTTATAATTTTAACCATAGAAGATTTTTCTTGATCACATATTTTGTTAGTATTCATTTATTTGTTATCGTGGTTTTTGGAGGGAAAAAAATAATGACGGTCCATTTTTAACACATGAATTCGCATACCACTGATTTCCATAATAGAAACAGCAGTATTTTAAAAAATTCAATTTTCTTATTGAAACACATTTTGTAATTTCCATTAACAAGAATAATATAAAACAATTTCAGTAATTAAAATTTTGAGTGTTTTTCGTATAAAAAAAAGTTTTTTTTCACCATTGTCATTGCTTGGTTATTTCTTAATTTATAGTTGATTAGGATGGTATATGGCATATGAACATGTTTTATATGTACCATCAATACGAAGTATTAAAAAATGTTCATATTTTATTTAATCATATATTCACTTTTAGCTTCAATTGTTATAAAATTTACATGTCTTTGTTCTTATATTTTATTATGAATTCTAAAATGATCTAACAAATCACGTAACCCAAATTTAATTGTCCGAAAATATCGTTATCCAATGTAAGGAAGTTAAATCGGGGTTGGAGAAATTTGAAACGAAATTACATTTGTAGGTTAAATAAACTTTATTTGTTTTTCTTCTTTTTGACTATTATGACCTTAATTTAGTCAATAAAACTAGTTACTATTATTGTATTTACTTTGAAATATATTACCTAAAATATTTTTATAAAATATTACTGTTAAATATTTATATATTACGTTATATATTTATATGTAGAAATTATTTATATATTATTTTATATATCACTTTTGCTCGAACGGGGATGGAGTGGAAGAAGGTTAAACAATTATTATTTAGCTTCGTCCCACGGAAAGCATTCTAGTTCCGGCCCTGATTAAGCATATCTATAGTGTAATAGCGGAACACCTGTCAGTTGTATCAAAGTAGAATTCCTAATGTGCATTTCCTTCTGTTTGGTCTGCAAGAGGGTTTCGATTTTTCCAATTTTAGTTTTTAGCATTCCTAAGGTGACTTCTAAAGGGACGCTTGCTCCGCAATAAAAATAGAGAGGGGGCAAGAATATCATTTCGCCCTTCCCCTCCCTCTGCATCAAAATTTCGAAGTAAAAAAATAAATAACAATTAATCTACATGAATGAATAAGAGAGAAATACTTTATTTTCATAAAATATAAAGGATTGCTGCCCAATTATATTGGGTTGCTATACACACAGCATACTCTTCTATCCTTAGGACAATATATGAACTTATATATAAATATTATATATAAAGACTATATTTTTATATAAAGATTATATTTATATATAAATATATGAACTTATATATAAATATAATCTAAAGTCAATTAAGAAAATAGGAAAAGCCGACTAGATGGCTAAGCTGAGCTCTAGTTGGTACGCAAGTATGTTCCTGTTGTTGGAATTTTAGTTCATATTCATAAATAATTATATGTAGCAACATATCCTAGGATTTTATGATTCATATATGTGGACCCTTCTATTTTACGTTAAGATTTTATCACATTTTCCCCGACAAATTTGAAGCATCGGAGAGTTGAGAGTTCATCTCACTGCCTCAAACTTTTAAATAAAAATAAAAATATTTTACATATTCAATTTCTTTATTAACATATTTTCAAATATACTCATACGAAAACAAATCTTAACATTATAAACAAACACACACACACACACACACACACACACACACACACACACACACACACACACACACACACACACACACACACACACACACACACACACACACACACATATATATATATATATGTGTGTGTATATAAAACAATACATATATATATATATAGTGTTATATTGTTTGTTTTACAATAATTATGTTAAACTCCCGAGACTTTTTTTGGGTTGGAGAGATCCATCTCCCTCTCAACCAGAATGGAAAATCTGCGCCTATGTTTTGTAGAGGAATAGAAAACAATCCTGGCCATAGTTAGGGAAACTGGATCATTGAATTTTCGGTGGATTGAGTGAGAGGTCATGTGTCGTTATACTCACAACCTTTCTACAGTTAATATAACAGTATCAGATTATTATTTTTTCGTTTGTTTGTCAGATACTCTTATTGTCATCGCATTTAAAATCAGTTTTCAAAATTCATTATTGTCAAAAGCAATATTACGCCGAGAAAATTGGTTTTTGGACAGGGTGGAAGTTAGGGATCCTTGACAAAAACCGAGTAGGAATGTCGAAGGTACACTTGACGAAGTCGGAGGGGCAAGGTCACAAAACTGCTCCCAGCATTGTGACCTCTCTCTCCTTCAGGTTTATCTTCATAACATTATTCACGCTTGTACTGCAAAACAAACAAAAAAAAAACTCAAAATTTAATTGAGGATTTTAGATTACAATGAACCAAATAACCTAATGCATTGATTGCCTTGTGAATTACTTTCCGATCGAGTTATTTAGTAAAAAACTAAGTGTGTGCCTTAGACCACACGATAGAAGTGAAAACATCAACAAGACGAGATTAATAATATAAATTATAAGTAATAGCTCATGATAAAGAGAATGAAATGTTGAACATTTCCCTCGCCCACAGTATGCAGGTCCGATTTTTACTTTTCCAGATATTTTAATCTATATCTTCCATAAAACTCGTTATCATTTGGTTTTCGACACTATTTTTTTTTTTTTTTGCCTCCTTAACACGGTGCCACTTTAAGACACATGCTTGAATAATGGCTCCTTACAAAGAGGATGATATGCTCAACATCTCTGCTACAGTATGCAGGTCCAATTTTTATTTTCTGAGATACTTTAATCTATTTATCAAATTATTAACATCCGCCTGAAACTTTGGACATAGTTCTGCCATAAATACTGTTACAAAAGTTGAACTTTGTTTACATCCTTGGGTATTTAGATATTCCTTACTTCTATCTGATTATTTTGTTTACATGTTAGGATAATAATCTCAATTAGTTTGTATTTTTCTTTCGCTTAGTTAATATGGAGTAGTGTGATGAAGAAAAACGAATAGCTGTGAACCCCTTACAAAAAGTTGGAAAATATAGATCTGAGATTTTCAACACTTTGGAACCTTTGGGTATCAGCCATATGTTCGTGTACCGCACTATAAACAGATATAATAAGACCCTATATGTATGTGACAGACCTCGACCGGGAGCAGACCTCGGGAACAGACCTCGAACGAGAGCAGTGGATGCTCGAATCAGAAGAAGTCCCATTCGAATACAACAAATGGGAATCTCTGTCAGATCGATGTCTCGCATAATAAAAACTGACCTTAGGATGGGTGCATTTTGAAGAGTGACAAGACGATGGCTTACCACTTCCCCAAAAAATATTAGAGTAGAGAGAGGCAAAGTGCGCTTTTGCCGGTACAACAATGGTCTTCATCGATAGATTTTGTTTCGCGATGAGAAAATTGTTACAATTGAAGACAAATTTAATCGCCATAATGGTCGTGTGTACGCACACACCTCTAAAGAAGCCCAGGAAGTCATTGGAAGATTGGAAAGAAGTCATCACCAGTCAATCATTATATTTTATTTACCGAAATTCTCGGAATCCTGGCGTTTTCAATCTGGAGGTTGGCAAACTTTGTTTATTTAATAACTAAAAACCTCGTAAATGTCCATTGCCTTTCCACTTGGATTGTAAGATAATATGATCACAAAATGGATTAAAAAGGTGTTCTACAAAAATATTGGACCGTTTGGTCTACATAACCTCGTTATTTTGAAAATTTGGAGGTGTAGGTCACGCCTAACGGCTCAATATTTTTTAAGGTCACCTTGTTTCCTGACTTTGTGAACAAGTTGTCTTACGATTCAAGTGGAAAGCAAATCCAAGTGGGCGTTTAGAAGTTTTTTTAGTACCTAATTAAATAAACAAAGTTTGCCGACCTCCACATTGAAAACACTTCAATTCCGAGAATTTTCGCAAATAAAATATTTTAGGTTTTCACTTTCTGTAAATATTGTAGGTTACGATAAGATGAAGCTATTTGCGAAGTTTCAGCCGGATGTTAATAATTTGATATGAAGGTGTCTGTACCACGGACTATATATCTTCCATAAAACTTGTTACCTTTTGGGTTTCGGCACTATTTTTTTCCTCTTCACCTCTCTAACACGCTGTCGCGCTGAGATACAGTTTTTAATAATAGTTCATTACAAAGAGGATGAAATGATGAACATTTCTCTCGCTAACAATCTGGTTGATTTTTAGTTTTTGGGATACTTTAATTCATGTGCAAAAGCACTTCAGTTAGTCAACTTCAGCCAACTTTACCTGAGCGTTAACACATTGGAGATCTGACGGCTCAATCTAATACACTCTCCAGATAAAAAGTGTAAAACGTGCCTAAAGAAGTTTCACTTAAAAAAAAATATACTAGAAACGCTGGTTATAATGCACATAATATAGCTAAATTTGTATCAGGTACAGGCACTAGGGTTCTTATTTTGGGGTTTTCACTTTTAACCTCATCGAGTTTTCTTAAGCCTAGTAAACACTAGTAGACATTGTTTCGCAATTTGTCTAGAGACGGTCTCGAGACATGGTCTTTATCGCACGAGACTTTAGGCCAGCGATTTTTGGTTTCGCAACAAGCCTGCAGACGGAGATCGGTCTATAGACATGTCTACGTAGATAAACTGAGATATGTCTCAGAGACAAAATTCGCGCAGCATGTCTACTATTGTGGACTAGGCTTTACGTAAACTGATTTTCGTGACGCTACATGACCGAGATACACGTTTAGAAAAGGTATATTTTTTTATCAATTCAAAGTAATTTATTTGAAATTTTAGTAATTTAGTATGTACTAAATTTTGTATGGTGAGTTTATGTTAGGGACATTCCGATAATAGCATTGCTCCGAAAATTTATAAAATAATTTATCTCTTTTCGCTGCACTTCAAATTATATATACATATTTCTTAGGCATAAATTTTAGTAAAAATAAGAATAATTATTATAAAATCATAATTCATTTCTATCGTAAATGAAGAGATGCATGTTTGTGAATAAATGATTTTGTTACTATTGTATATTCTTTAATTATATTTTAACTATTGTATTAGTTGAACTGGCCATCAAAATTTTATCAAATCACCATTTATAAATGTTTCATATTGTCATTTCTTAATAGTTTCTTATTGATAATCGAACCTATCCATTGTGCTTTATAAATGCTAACAATAATAGCAATAGTTTGTTGTGTCAATGCAATAGGGGGCCACCATTCTGTATCCTCCAGTCAGAGATTGGCATGCACTAGATAGGCTGTGAAGTACATTACAGGCGCAGCCTGGCGTGACAACAGCCATTAGTATCTACGTGATGCCTGAAAAGACATAGGGGCTGTTTGAGGCCCGTATCTTTTGTCATACTTCTTAGCTCGCACCACCTATTGTAAATCTTTTTACTGATACGATTAGTAGATAAAGAAGATGGCCTAAAATGATTAACAGTTTTACTTCAATATTTGTTATTTCGTAATTGTTATTAACAGTTCTTAGCAAAGCCCTTAGGCGCAGACATATTCCCGCCTCTCTATATTTTTATTGGGGGCAGGGAAGACGAACACCCTTCGGGAAATATGCGCCTATGGCGAAGCCGTCGTTACTCTACGATTCACTCTCATCGGCCATTAGTTTATTTTATCATATTTGATAGTTTTATATCTTTGTATTTCTAAATTATAGTCGAAAACTTGAGAATATCTCGTCTGCTTATTGTATTTTTTTCAGTAGATTTAATTTATATTTTCGATCCATACTTTCTCCGTCAGCACATCCACGCGATGGACTTGATTCTATGTATCATTGATTTATAAAATGTATTACGTCAAATAGCCAACAATAAGATACTTCCAACCTGATGAGCCAAAAGTGTTACAGTTATCTGGACTGCCATGCGAATCTGGTCATGAAAATGATTTGTTTAGGATGTTCTTGGCGTCAAGTAGATGACTAAATTACAGGACCAACAGTCAGCCCGAAAGTTTTTATATATAACTATAATTACGTTGGAAGAAAGATATGAAATTAAGTACCTATATCGAATGGTGTTTGTAAGTGATTATTGAAGTTCTATTAAATGTAATTAAACGAACAATATTACTTTTAGAAATAATTTTATTAACATTTATTTCATAAGGAATGGTTATATTTCACAATTTTTGGGGGAATGAGAGGGAGCTTATCCGGAAAGATTCCTCTCCTCCCGTAGATCCGTCTGAGGCATGGACTCATAGGATAGGTGAAAGGATGTAACAGGCTTGTTTGTACTCAGGAAATTTAAAAAGAAAAATCGCTTGCACTGTTTTTAAGAAGAGAAGAGCAATGAAATATCTTATGATGGTGGGGGAGGAAGACAGATGGTCAATGCACCATCGACCTTGGGGAAGATGGGCACTTTTGGTTGTCAACCTACATTAAAGTTTTTTTAAATACCAAGCAGTATATTGGCTAACTTCAAGTTACGAATTCATATTCCGACTTAAGATAATTACAGTTACTATAGTTTCATAATGTTCATATTGTTACAAATCGTTTTGGTATTTATATTTATGTCATTGTGGAGTATTCTGGTCATATGGATTCGAAGTATAAAGCAATTATTGATTGACCGGAATTTGTTTTTCATTACTACGAAATGCTGGGTTATCAATAAACAAAATTATTTAGTTTATAAGCGTACCTAAATCTTAAACACAGTTTTTATTTACCTCAGTAATTAGAAAACAATGGAATCCATTTTCAATACCTTATCACTGCGATGAAAGAATTTATTGAAACTTTTTGGGTGTGCGTCGAAAACTACAGAGAATTGTCTTTTTCGTAGACGATCTTACATTCCATCGGAACTGTACCTATATCAACCTGAAGTAGAAGTGCAACCATGGAGCAGTTTTACACGCAGAATAGTTGCGTGAAACAATGATAATAGTTTCCTGACAAAAATTATGTTAATACAAAAATTATTAACATAAAATAATGTTAATTTTTATTTAATAATAATGTTATTTTAATTTAAACATAAAAACGCCATTGACCTTGGGAATGGGATGGCCAACCCTGCTTACTGATGCTGTGACGTCTTCATCTTGATGTACAAACGTTTAATTTCTTGATTTATAGCTTAATTACGTACACATAGTTGAGACATGACACGTGAATTGCAGAAACCAAATTTTTCTAGCGTTAAGATAACACTGTCACTATCGTAATAAAAAAAAAACATTTTTTTTAAAGAGTTTATTTTGTTTGGTGTCTTCAGTTTTTAAAAACTCTTGGAGGATGAAAAAACATTGACTGTTAGAAAAAGCTGAAGGCCTCCAGGTCGCCTTGTTTCTGTTGCCTTCTATAATTATGTTTTTATTACAGATAATAGCAGGGTCTTTTTGAGCTGAGGAGCGGGCGTGGGTCGCTCTCCTTTCCTAGCCACTATCGGGGACTAGCATCAGCCTTAGCAAGGTTCAAACGTTTAGTTCCTTCCTTTTTCCATTTTCAGCAATTAGTGCACACTCCCAATGACAGTTGATTGATTCCTTCAGCCGTCCAGTAATGAATTATAGAAAAAATAGATAAAATGGGACAACAACGTGTTAATGAATAGGTTCGAACAGCATTGAATGGATATTTTCATTAGCTGGTAAGACTTTTTTTTTTATTTATTCAGTTAAATGTTGGAATTACTGGCGCCGTTTAGAAGTAGTGCATTAATTCCTCGATATACATTATTTCATTATTCCTTATTATTGTTATACTCAAGATATTTTATTCGCTCATCCACGTTTTAAGGTATAGCAATTATGGTTAATTAAATAAATTTTCTTGGTCTCCTAATAAAATGCTGCTTTTTCAAGAAATAAATATTTACAAATTATTTTCCGGTTTTCTGTGTGGAACCGGATCACGGTCCACATCTCAGATGAGCCACCTGCGGAAATCCACATGCGGTAAAGATTTTTAACATCCGTATGTTATTAAAATATAATAATTTAACACACAACAGTATGTATTTTGTATGAAATTTTAACATTTTAAAATAAATCATAATTGTCGATTACGAGACACGACAACAATAAAAGGGAGGTAAAACAAAGGAATCAAAATATTTATTCAGTTTAATTTTCGATCTATTTTTTGAATTCCACTTTCTCTTGCACATTTTTTAAGAAGAGAAGAGTAATAAAATATCTTGGAATGGAGGTGGTCATGAACAATTTACCTTGGGGGAGGAGAGAGTACCCCTGGTTACTACTTACTTACGTCCTTTGGCAGAAAGGACTGCTTATCCATCAGGTTCCCGATCTAGCCTTAACAGAGAAAGGATGCGACTAATTCTGTGAATCTGCTATGAAATACACTCGATAATAACTCAGAGAAATGATTATAAATTCATCGGTTGGGCGGACAACTCATACAAGCGAAGTTATCCCACTCCTCATTTGAACAAAACATAAATTATATAATGATAATAATACCAATAGTTAAGTCCAATAAACCAAAATTTAAAAAAAAGTCTGTAAAATTCTATCCTTCTGTTTGATGAGCCTGAATTCAAAAATAAATTTCCAAGGCTTGTAAATTAACGTTTCTCAATAAGTTTTTAATGAATTGAGATTTAGTTTGGTTAAGTTGAAATAAACCCATGATTACATTCGAAGTATTTTTTTTCTTTCTATTCCTCGAATTTATTCGAAATCCCGTATTATATGTTCCACTTTCTCCTGTAGAGTAGTTGGCACCAAGAACGAAGGCTGGCGTGGTATATCGGCTAGTGGAGCAGGCGGGACCGCAAGTAGACTGATGTCCACAGTTCACTTATGCCCTTGGTCGGATCAGTATTCATGTCGCACACACGCCCAACTGCGGGCGCGCCCCTTGCAGCTGCAAGAGCTCAAAGATATTGAGGTCGTTCTGCAAACATTGGCGGTGTCAGATCCTCAACTCATTCAGCTTATGGATAACAATTTTTAGTTACTATTCTCAATACTAAATCAGATACATTTATTGTATCCAATAAATTTAATTAAAATTAAATGAAACTTAAATAATTTATGATTTCTAGTAAGTAATGTTAATTTTTATTTAATAATAATGTCATTTTAATTTAAACATAAAAACAATTTTTGTCATACCAAGGATGGTCTTCTGGAGACTCTGTAGTCGTCAGAAAAATAATTAAAACCATCTTCTTGTTTCAAATATTTTAATTAAATTTTTAAATTGGTTTAATTTTTTTCTCAATCTCGAAAATAATTAGTCGTATTTTAAATTAATTATAATTATCATTATCATAGAAAAAAATTGGCTATGGTAATGACAGAGTTTTGGTTACGGTAATGACACTTTATCATTCAAAGCTGGGTATTCTTTAAACAAATGGGAGGTGACATACAGTTGTTAAATGAGTCGTTTAGGCGTTGATATCTGCTTTCAAAATATAGTACTAAAAAGTAAACAACTTTAATCATCTAATTACAGCTGAGAGTTACAATAATGGCAAATAAAAATGTACGAACCTGTTTTTGTCACCTTTCACTTTCGATAACTGCTAGAGATTTAACTGTTTAGACGTTTTTTTTTTTTTTTTTGAGGTTTCAATCTCCTCCACAGGATCGCCAATTTTCACCAACCGTTGTTTTATAAACTATTTCCCTTTTTTAACAATTTCCTTCCAGTCGAAGTTTAACTACGGTAATAACTACAAACACAGGGCATGTATTTTTTTCCTCGGCACTCAGTAGAAATACTCCAGGAATCATAAATTATACTATAAAACTGTTAAATAATAGTTCTCTTTTCACTGTTCACTTCCGTGAATAGCCAAAAGTTGACTTTCCATTGATCAGTAAAATAATGAGAATGGGGGATATAAATTAAATTAATAAAAAATTCTTGAGACAGGTTTGCTAATGACATCGCAAATAATAATGCCCAAAAGTACTTAACGAAGTCCCCAGAAAGCTTCATGGTCCCTTTAAACGGGATAATGACTTGTATCTTGGAAGTACTCACAAGTATATGGTATGTTAGGTGTTCAAAGCTAAAGTTTTAATATCATTTCCTTGGTTTTGTTTTTCTTGTGGTGAGTCGGGAGTGAGGAAAGGTTGCGGAACACTGAACTACACGATGTCCTAGATATTTCTAACATTACAGAAACAGCTACCTAACCTTACAGGATGTTTCACTTACGAATGACTAAATAACCCGTTATCACAAGCATTGGCTTCCTCAACCTTATTTAGACGGCATTTAACAGAAGGAAACCAATCCGCATTGCATATGTTTAGAGTAAACTCAAGTCAAAGTTAATGGAAGAAAATATACTTAAATTTTCTTATTTGTTACAAAACCAGTTTTATTAAGTTTATCGAACCAAAAAAGTAAGCATTAATCTCATACAAAACTACCTCTAACTCATTTTTGCATATATTTTTTTTTTGGTTTTGTTAACTTTTACTGAATGTTGTCTATTTTATACAATACATGCGTGAGGTACTTGTATTAGGTAACTTAGCATTAAGTATAATTCTGATATTTTTACTGAATAGTAATCAGAACGCACGTCTTTATTTAGCTGTTTACTTTTTTTGAATTGACTTGCTTTTGTATTAGAAAATGAATACCTTCACTTCAAGATGGCATTAAATCACTAATTCAAAGTGGTTAAAATAATATTTCCTGAAAGACAGTTGAATAGTTATCTTCTCGAAGCCATAGAAGGTAAGATTAGGTTAGGCATGGTTGACAGGCCTCACGACAATAGTTGCTATTATTAAGGCAATTTATTTCATGTTGACTCATCAGTTCACGATGGAAGATATATATATATATATTGCCTTTGTCATGGCAACTGTGACTCTATTCCGTCCATCTGAACCATTATATTGCGGAAGACCTTTTTTGGATATGAGTTCAGTTTTTATTGAATTATAATAGAACCTATGGTAAGGATTAGCTTTATGTTTTTTTTTAAAACTTTTTCATTGGCCAGCCTTGCTATACAATGCCCTGGGTCTGACTTATTTTTGTGGGGTCTCGGTTCTCTAGCATCCTGCATAGAGTTGTCTTCTATTGAAGGTGGTTTTCAATGATGGCATAACCAACTGCTCCCCTTATCGTCTCATTTCTGATGCGGCCTCTTTCTGTCTTTGCAGCCATTCAACGAATTTAATTTAAATTATTTCGATTTATTACTGTACTGAAAATTAAATTATTTTAAATTTAAATGCAATACGTAGTTTGACATAATTATTTTAAATTCCTATAAAAGAAAAAAAAAATGGCCCGAATAATTTGAATAAACCAAGTACTCAATGTATTTATTAAACCTTTTATTTCAATTTAGTAGTGAATTAGCCGATATTGTATAATGCCATGTTTGGCCGTTTTACGTTTTTTTATAGTAGTAAAATGTTTCTCTCTCTCTCTGTCAAACAAACATAAATACATTTTTTTTCTTGGACATTACATTTTTTGCCGCATTAACCACCTTAGCCTGTCATGGGAAATTTCTTTCCAGTCAATTTTATGCAGTTCTACTCCATCTATTTTAATGCTATCTATCCATCTTTATTTATTTATCTCCACCTTTCCATGCCTCTCGGCAACTCAAGTTTTTGTTAGAAGTATTTAGCTACTTGTACCACTTATTTTCTGATTCATTGAATGACGTTGAAATGATCAACTCCCACTAATGCTTTCCACCCGTATACGATATCTTAGTCGTAGGAGTATTTATCCTCGCTTACTAGCTGAGAGACATCCTCCTCAGTGATGACCTAGAGTTCAGTTTCCCTGAGTAGTTTGTGTCATAAGCAGTGTAGGTGGCATGCTCAGCAGTTTCCGAAACACCTATCTTCCTGGTTTTTGGCCTTCCGCGTGGTCTCTAGCCTACAATTGATGCATTCATTGTTGTGTATGGAGGCTTCCTGATGGCCATCCAGTAGCTCAATAACTATATATATATAGTTCCCAATATATATATATCTTTACAACTTTTCTTTAATCGACCTTTGAGTATTAAATTTAAACATAACCATTTAATTGGGAATAAGGTCACTTATTAATTATTTAATAAACTACTGAATGTTCATTTCCTCTATATTTATTGACGTTTCGATCCCGGTATTTTTCTTTTTATAAGTTAACGATGGGATCCTCTTCAAAGTTTTAAAAAATAGAGCTTCGATCAGGAAACACCGACACTCTCAGCACCGTTCACTAACACATATATTAAGCTACATCAGTAGCTTAATATTGATTGACCGGTTTTTGTGAGCTTTTCTTTATTGGTTCTTTTCCTCCTCGCGTTAGTACACTGGTCCCAAATCGCTCCGGTTATCATGCAGAGGATTTTCCTCTCAAATATTCCAATACTTCTTTCTAGAGTGCTGTGTAGTGTCCTGCCCATAGCTATATATAGTATTACATAAAAAGTACATAACTATTGTATAACATGGCATTATACAATATCGGCTAATTCACTACTAAATTAAAATAAAATGTTAGATAAATACAATGGGTACTTGCTTTATTTTAATTATTCGGGCCATTATTTTTTTCTTTTACAGGAATGCAAAATAACAAAAGAATTATATAAAATTATAAATGTATAATAATTATTTCTAAATAGGAATTGGCATTACGTTAAAGAATGGGCTGGATTGATTTTGAAAGGGGTGGGGATGGCGACAAGGGAGTTTCTTACCTAGTTACGCCATTACTTAAGAACACTCCGAACATTACCATATCATTAGTAATTAGTAACATTACCATAAAGTTAAGATATTTGATATTTATTTATTTAACCAAATTTGTTTACATAGATCTACCTTGACCGGAGCTGTGCTCTGTCGCCCTTAGCTAATACGGCGGGTTATTATCTGTCTTGCCTCTGTTGTGATAATACAGAAATATCTTTAGGCTCCCATCGTCATTAGTTTGTCCGCTTCGTTATGTAACTTATTTCTAGACCCTTCTATCTTCTTCCCTCCTCCGGTTTCTCGTTTCTTCTTACTTCCGTCCCATGATTTGATTTAGAAATAACTTCTAGGAATTAGTCATGCTGTCGTTTACAGCTTAGTCATTACGGTAATTTCTTTCTGTTTATCTTTGGATTTTTTCCGTGCTCTTTGATCTAATATAAATAAAATATAAAAATGAAATCCTTGTGTGCTTATTGTTTTAGATGAAATATTTACATATTTCTATAGTATAAAATAAGACTGTGTTTTATCATTTCTTCAGCATATTTATTTCAATCTACATCTGCTACGCTTCGGCTAGTAAGCAATTTTCAAGCCATCTGTTAGATAAACATTATTAATTTTATACTGTGATGCAATTTTACACTCTATGATGGTGATATTGGTCATATTTAATTTTATATTTTATGAATTTTAACTCTAATTGTGTTAATTAAATTTATTAATTTATAAATTAATTTGTAACACTAAATAAAATGAGGTTGGTTTTTATTTAAAATCAGATATACCAAGGTAAGATCATTAGACATAAATTATTTTAAGTTTTAAACATCCTTTCTTTATTTATTCATGCTTATTGCATGTAGTCCATAATCAGATTAAAGTTAAGTATAAGTGTAGTTGGGAGGTTGCACATTGTTATATCTTTGTTTCTGTTATATCTTAGCTGATGTAGATTGAAATAAATCTTGTGAAGAAATAATAAAACACAGCCTTATTTTATAGTAAAAATGAAATGTTAGTTTTAATTCCTTCATTCCAACACTGTCATCACCACCTATGCCGATGACACGTGTATCCTATCAGTTAATAACGATCCTTTAATTGCATCCCAAACTCTTCAATCACATATCACAAGCCTTGAAGAATGGTGTAAAAATTGGAGAATAAAAATAAATTCCAACAAATCCCATCAAATCACTTTTACCCTCCGTCGTAAACCTATGACCTCTTGTCCTACAGTATCCTTCAATAATACTCCACTTA